TAATTATGCACTGTCAGATATTTATTGATTGATTTTATTTATTGATATTTATTATCACCCAAAAAAAACTTTCCCGTAGGTCTTGATTGACTTCCTTTTATTTCTGTGGAACACAAAAGAAGATACTTTGAAGAATGTTTTTAAATGAAAGTCAAATAATAATGTCAAAATAACATTGGACCCCATTGACTTTTTTCGTATGCATAAAAACACTCTTCTTTTGTGTTCTGCAGTATATGCAATGCATACAGATTTTTAACAACATGAGGGTGAATAAATTATAACAGAAAGTTCATTTTTGAGCAAACTATCCCAGCAGGAATAGCCATCAGTAGACCTGCTGTAACTTTCCACATTCAAACTTTCTAACCCACAGAAATCCAGAAAGACAAAGTATCTTGGTAATCATTATTATAGATCTATGTGTAGAAAAATGAAATTTCATTGTGGGTTTACCATTTATATAGTGGCTGTTTGATGAATAAATAATATGTTAACGTTTTATCTTTGTTTACAGATTGAGGATAATTTGAAACTGGAAGAGTGTTTAAATAAAGTCCAGCAGGAGAACGAGGACTACAAGGCAAGGATGGACAAACATGCTGCACTTTCAAAGTAAGATTCAAAAATTGAAGGCGTTTGATTCGTCATCTTCTCCTTTGAGTATTTCTGGTGATCTGATGGCATTTTAGTTATAATATTAGTGTATTATTTTCTCAAAGCAGAGAATTTTCTAATCTTTTTTTTTCTGTTTGACTTTAGGCAGCTCTCCTCAGAGCAGGCCATGCTTCAACAGACCCTACAGAAAGAGTCAAAGGTCAACAAACGGCTATCTATGGAGAACGAGGAGTTGCTGTGGAAACTACACAACGGAGACCTCTGCAGCCCTCGACGCATCTCGCCCACCTCTCCCTTCCCCTCGGCCCAAAACTCCACCTCCTTCACCACAACCCCCATATTACCCAGATAACCTCTGAACTCAGAGGCACCTATGGACCTTTTGGCCATTTTATTCCTATAATAGGACCTGTACACTTTGTAAAGACTTAAGGTTTATTAATGTTCCGGTTTTCCAGTTAAAGACAATGATGCACAGCTGCACTTCTAGATCAAGGAATTGCCTTGTCCTGTTACATGCTTGTTTGTTCTTTTCTGTCTGTCTGTCTCTCACATTTCTTTCACATACATACACAAATATTTCTCTGAGGGGGGAACATACCTCAGGGCTTGTACATAGAGTACCTCTTCCTCAGACTGTCATTTTCTGTTATACTTGTGTTCTTTTATCCCCTTTTTTAATTAAAAATGGTTTGTATATAGTAAGTAAAAGATGTAAAGCTGTCCTTTTCATTGTATGCTCACAAGAACACTATGGTATTTGCAGAAAGGATTGAAAACAGGATTCAAAGCCCTCTATTTGCTTGGGTTGATTATTTTAGAGCATATTTACAGAAGGTATTGTTCAGAAAGGGGAAAAAAGACTTTTCAAGAAAGAAGCTTAAATGTCAACCTCACCTTTAACTGGATTGGATCTAGATCCAGATCTCTGTTCCTAATATTGTGGAATGTATTCTCTCCCAAACTGTGTCCAGTGGCCCTCACATTCAGAATGCTTTAGGTGTGAATGTGTCCCTATCTCAACCGCAGTGCCCTTCCTTGCTTTATTTTATTAGTATTATTATTTTTTTTTTAATTAATGCATTAAATTTTTGAATGTTCATCCTTATGTTTTGTATTGTTTATTGTATTGTAAATAGCACATGAAGTTTAATTACTTTCTGATATTTACATTTTGAATTTGTTTAAATGGGTAATAAAGAAATGCATTGGAGTTACAAAGAGGAAATATTAGGGAGTTAAAATATAACTAGGAACAGATTCTGGGCTAAATCTGGCTTGCATTCGTCACTTCTGGTTTATTCTCCAAAAAAAAAAAAAAGTTCTGTAAGAGAGAGCATAACAAACTTGCGTCATCGTTTACTTTCACTCGTCATTTTTTTCATCTGCTAAATACAAAAGAATATTTGAAGAATATTGTTAACCGAACTATATATGTATTTTTTTTACTATGATTGAGATCATGAGATTATATATAATCCCCACTGAAAAAAAAAATACAGTGGTTGTTGGAACATAGACAGTAAAATAAATAGACACAGCGACCCCATAGACTTCAAAGAGAAAGTTGAAACCCAAGAAGCACTCACGTCCTGATTGCCAAGCGCACTGCGCAGGCTCAAACTGAGCTTGACGACGACGTAGACGCATAGATGTGACGTGAGCAGAGACTGTAAGACCTTCTAGTATCTGTGCCGAGACAAATCTGAATAGAATCTAAAACAAATCTGTTGTTGAAATATTTTGTGCCGTTTCTTTTATGAACTGTCTATCTATGGGCTTCTCCCTTGACCGTATGCCTCCATGTCACCCCGATTGCCTCATAGGCAGTAAAAGATTGCCTGCGAGCTTCTCTTTCTGTCTACACGGTACATTTTATACTGCGCTACAGAGAGCCCAGTGGTTATGACGCAATCGTTAGCATATTTTTACAAAAACGGCTTCTACGGGGCCATAACGTAAGATACAAAATAATGGAGCCTGTTATCCATTGTCCTGTTTCTTAATAAATAAATAATGGACAAATTGAGTCTTTGGACGCATCAGATGTAAAGTTATATGCTGTTAAAGTGACTCCAAAATGAATGGGAGTCAATGGAATGCTAACAGCAGGTGATAGTACAATGCTACAAAGCAACAGCTCCGACATGAGTGCGAGCATAAACTATCCCTTTATCCTATTCTGCCACCTTGTGGTTAAAGATAAAACGTTTCACTGTATGTGGAATGAGGCCTACATTTCTATTTTTACAGTCTATGGGAATGACAAATCATATTGTATAAACAGAGGCACCCCTAGTGGATTTAAATGGAAATGCACGGTTTTTATGTTCTCCTGGCTGTAAGTGGACAATTGACAAGATAGGTTTACAAACACACAACAAATGTGTCAATACATGGTATATTTGAGTTTGAGACATGCTTGACTATTTCATTGAGCTATTCCTACATTTTTGTTATGTATATGTCCACATTTATTTCAGTATAAAAACTTAAAAGAGAAGCAAACTGCAAATATAAAAAATATCACTAGGCAGATGGTAGGCTAAGTATCACACTGACTAGCTTAAGTATTTCTCATGTGTGTGTGTGTGTGTGTGTGTGTGTGTGTGTGTGTGTGTGTGTGTGTGTGTGTGTGTGTGTGTGTGTGTGTGTGTGTGTTGTGTGTGTGTGTGTGTGTGTGTGTGTGTGTGTGTGTGTGTGTGTGTGCGTGTGCGTGTGCGTGTGCGTGTGCGTGTGCGTGTGTGTGTGTGTGTGTGTGTGTGTGTGTGTGCGTGTGTGTGCGTGTGTGTGCGTGCGTGCCTTAAAGTCCCCGTGAAATCAAAATTGAACCTATTTACTTTGTTAGAGCATATTACTAGTCTTGTGGTGAACAATTAATCCGTGCAAGTAAAAATATATTTAAAAAATGTTTTACCTTAGTAATCTTTAATCAAAATCTGAAAAGTTACTTCCGGTCTGGAACGGTTTCTTTTTCTGATGACGTAGGTTTCACAACTTGGGTGGGGAAACGCTTAACCACTCCCCTCAAACCGTTAGTTTACTATGAGCGAAAGATGGAGAGGAGGAGCGCTAGAGTAAAACCCTGCCCTCTGTTCAATATTCCGTTTCACTTGGAAATACGTCACAGCACTGGAGAAAAATCTTTTGCAACTTCCGGTTCACGGGGACTTTAAAGGCCAGGAATGATATATTATAAAGGGCATGTGTGTTCATGTTAAAGAGAGCACATACGTGTGCATGTGTCAATGCGATTCCTCACACACAGACTACATTAACTAACAGTATTTGATTATTGAAATGTTCTGACAAAATGACTGCTGACATTATTCCTCTACTGCATGATTTTGACAGCCTACTATGGATTGATATAATGCCCATTTAGGGATAGTGCAAACACAACCCAAATCTCATATCAGCTATCCAGGTAGAAATATGTAAACTGATAAAATCTGTTCATAATGAATGTAATTCAACTCTCATGAAGGTCTGTCCAACTGGGTAGCCAAATCAAAGCTTTAATGCAAGTGAAATTAATCCTAAAACCATTTATATGTGTTTGACAAGTAATTTAGAATAATACCGTAAAATCTTTATTTTACACTGTCCTTGTTACACATTAAATGTAGGCTACTTGGTGAAGTAATTTCAGTCAATTGCAAAATGCATAACTACTAGCAACTTACCATAAACCGACCCTAACCAGTAAGTAGGCTACATGTTATATTACTTAGTACTTATTTGTGTAAGTACACTGTAACAAGAAAATAAATTATAACAATAAAACCTATTTATCTATTTTTTTTTTAATTTCTTAATCCATGTTCATCCTCAAGCTAATTGAGGTTACGTACTAATAGTTTGGCTGTGCTAATTCACCTTGTCATTTTGTTCTTATCGTCCTTCAAGTGGCATTGTTCTATACAACAATGTCACATACTGTATATAGGCTGTTTTGTCTCTTTCATGAATTCAGTTTCGATATGGACTATTTATGAATTGTCTAATATATAGATGAATTTACGTAATAAGAGTGCGTTTAATAAGACCAAGGTTACATTACATTATATCACTTTTCTTTGACATTTTATCAGTATAAAATATCACTTATCACCATCATTCCATCAGATACATTTCACTGCATCTGTACTTTTAAGACATTGCGCACAACTACTCAAATGCTTCCGAGAAGTAAAATAGTACCACTCTTTTATGGCCTCAGTTTTTTCGCTTGCTTGACCTTTTGATAATCTCGTCTTGAAAGACAAATATACAACTTTTATTGTCAAAATATATAATGAACAGATAGGGATTCACAATCAATTGTGTTTTAATCAAACTGAGAACGGTATCCTTCCGCCTGTTTGTTTGGATATGGGGTAAAGAAAGATGGCCGCTGCTGGACAGGCGGTTGCTCCTTGTGGAAGTCACACTACGCATTGACACTTTATCTGGGATTTTAATAAACGTCACATGGGAATAATTCTCATGCTCCAGTAATAGGTCGCCACAACGTTAAGGGTAAGTGTTCTCCTTATTCACTAAAACAGCTTGCTAGCTGTGTTCGTGCAGTTGTTTCTTTCTCTCAACTTCTAACGTTATTAGCTTGCTAGCTACCTCACTAAAGAAATTCTAAGTCATTTCAACAAATACCACCTTATCTCATATCCCGAAGTGAATTGCTACTCAAATGTGAAAGTTTTGCTCTCATTTGACTAAAATTCATAACAATGTAAATGGGTCAAATTGATCTGGAGCGCTTGAAGGTGGACGAAGTGGTTTGTATTATATGAGAGTGATGCACCGGTCAGATGCCTTTGTGTCAGGTGAGCAAGTTTAAAACCACCAAGCCCGTGTCAAAATAGAACAACACCAATGAGCTAATATGATATTTAGCTACTAATCTTTCTTTTTATTATGACCATTAACCAGACATGAGTCATTTTGTTGTGGTGACTCTGTTGGGGTGTTTGTTTCTCTTAACCGCGAGTTTTCGCGGGGATCTGGAGTTCCATGGCTCGTGATAGAGGTTACCATGGAGACAGACTAAAAAATCTTCACGGGCGTTTAAAAGTCACTGCTAGTCATCACGCTCGAGTATTATATTTGTGAAATCTACTTTTTAAATAACGTAACCGTCAGGTTATAATATCTTTAACTACGTGTCACGTATTCTGCACAGTTTCACCTGCACAGGTGAAAGTGCCTATGTAACTCAGCAGAGAAGCGAGTCTTTTTTACAGTCTAACGTTACTCTGTGGTGTTGACAGTTAGCCAGGAAATTGAGCGCGTTGACCAGGTTTAACCGTTTTAACGGACACAAAACCCATAAGCGACAGATTGTAAGACAGTTCAGAAAGATTAACAACCTGAGTTCACATTTCTCGAGGAATAAAGCTCACAGACTTCAATTGTCAAAGTAAGTTACGTTTAGATCACAGTAACTTAATGGACCTATTGTTTTTTTTTTTTTTTTAAGATGGACCACTGTATGAAGTCAGGGCTGCCAACTATTGAGTTTAGCTTGGAGTGAATGTTGGGGAAAAAATACTGTTTTATTATTGCTTGACACAAATTTCAATGGCTTTCCTGAGGTAAATGTAACGTTATTTTTTTTCTTTAGCTGTTTTATTGACCTCTTTCCGCATGAGAGTTGGCATCCCTACAGTTTCCAATACATTTACTATGGTTAAACCATGGTAACGTTAGTAAGTTGAGAACCATGTAAATGTCATTGTGGATGAAAAAGATAATTTTTCAGTATCTTTAGAAACACTTCAATATAAATCACTTTTAATCAATTTAATGCATACTTGCTGAATAATTAAAATTATTTAAAAAAACAAGAAAGAAAAAAATACTGTTCCCAAACTTTTTAATGGTAGAAAACCTTTTTAAACTTTTTTTATTGCATTTTTTTTTTATCCATCAAAGTATCCGGTAAAAAAAGGTATCACAGGTTGTAAAAATGTTAAAGTCGGTATGAAATCAATTTTGACAAATCTTATTTTTATACTGTAGTGTTTATTATAAATGATTTATCGGTGCACTTGATTATTTTTTTTTTAAATTCATGTAGCATTGAAATCTTTAATCAAATACATTACCCTTCTCTCCCCCATCAAACAACCTCTCTCTCTTTTGGTCACGTGGAATGGCAAAAGGGTGTGGCCAGATCCAATGAGGGTGTGGCTATCGGTGCACTATGGAAGCTTATGTGTAGCATTATTCAATTTGAAATGTAATATGCAAAATGACAATGCAATATGTAAAATGGCATTGCATTTTGTATTTAAATTTACATTTTACATTACCATTCTAGCAACGTTTGGTGCAAAATGAAAATGAAAATGAAATGACATAATTTACATTTGCAATTTCATACACTAGTTTTAATATGCATAATTGAAACGCTTTTAAGTGGCAAAATTAAAATGAAAATGCATTACAGAAATGATTAGATATGTGTAACATGTTCAAGCCAAAAACTGTGGCAAAATGATCATTCAAATGCTATTTTTATTAATTGCATTTACACTCACAGTCAAGACACTCGTGATTGCATTTTCACGAAATGCCCTGCAATGGATGTAGCAAAATTCAATGTGCACATTGAAAATGCAATCCGAGCCGACCACGCCCCCTCCTGGCCTGTCAATCACTGCATCAAGGCGGGCCTCGGCAACAACAGGTAAACACAGCATATGGCTATATTTACGTGTTTGAGCTGTTGAAAAAAATTGCTGCGGCAGAGCTAATACGAGCATTAAATCATTTAGCAGTTAAAGTGGAGCGTGAACAGAGAAAAGGTATTTCCGAAGATTATTATGTGTATGTAGGTGATAGAACAGTACGTTGTTGGAACGTCTGGGAGAATTTTCTGCCTTATCAGGCGCCGACACCCGTTTGGCTGCTGACCTCTTAAAGGTGGTGGAAGAACAGTTGTAATATTCGGATAGGCCTAGGGGAGCGGGAGGCCACCTGTGGAGATCCCTGGCGAGGCCATAGAGATGTATGGGTTAAAAGTTAAAGATATCGCGGCCTTGTAAGTTATGGAGTTAGTCCATGGACGTTACATCGCCGAATGCAGCAGTGTGGACTGAAGTAAACAACAACTTAATTATATTTTAATAAACGCGTAATAATCTTCGGAAATACTACCTTTTCTCTGTTCATGCTCCACTTTATCTGCTAAATGATTTAACGCTCGTATTAGCTCTGCTGCGGCAATTTTTTCAACAGTTCAAAATACGTAACATAGCCATATGCTGTGTTTACCTGTTGTTGCCGAGGCCCGCCTTGATGCAGTGATTGACAGGCCAGGACGGGGCGTGGTCGGCTCGGATTGCATTTTCAAAATGCATGAATTTTGCTACATCCATTGCGGGGCACTTCATGAAAATGCAATCGCGAGTGTCTTGACTGTGAGTGTAAATGCAATTAATAAAAATAGCATTTGAATGATCATTTTGCCACAGTTTTTGCTTGAACATGTTACACATATCTAATAATTTCTGTAATGCATTTTCATTTTCATTTTGCCACTTATAAAGCGTTTCAATTATGCATATTAAAACTAGTGTATGAAATGGCAAATGTAAATTATGTCATTTCATTTTCATTTTCATTTTGCACCAAACGTTGCTAGAATGGTAATGTAAAATGTAAATTTAAATACAAAATGCAATGCCATTTTACATATTGCATTGTCATTTTGCATATTACATTTCAAATTGAATAATGCTACACATAAGCTTCCATATGCACCACCTCTCAGAGAATCGCATTCAAATTGTTTGCAACACTCAACCTCCAACAATCCAATCAATTCCCGAAGGATGAAATCAAGCCCTGCCCTAAATTTTTTTTTTTCCAATTTCAGAAGCCGTTTCACTATACGTCACGAGTCACAACAATAAAAAAAAAAAAAAAATCTCAACTTCCGTTTCACGCCGACTTTAAGTAGCACAACTGTTTCCAACATTGACAATAAATCAGAATATTATTACAGCGTTCCCCCATGGGCCCTTGTGATCCTTGAAAGTTTGTCAATCTGAAAAAAAATAAAAATAATAATATTTGTTTTGGAAAATAAACATACATAGATACAGAAAGTGATCGCATTTAGTTTGTGCATGAAGTTTTCTGGAAAATCCAAATTCCCTCCGTTTGGATGAAAGTGTATTTCGCCAACACTTCGTGGGCTATGATTACTAGCTCGCTTTATTTACGTTAGTTAATTAGTTAATGCATTTACGCATTGTTTCCCCCGTTAGGCACTTTGTGTTGTACATTGCCATGACGTTCACACACGCACGAAACTACTACAATGGCACATCAACGTTTGTTGTTGAACACACCACGTGTGTTTACACAATCCTTATGATCAGTGTGTTGTTGAATGTTGCTTGGCAGCTAGTCAAACAAACCTCAGCCCCTTAAATGAAACTGCCACATCAAGAACCTGTTTAGCTGCACAGTGAATAAGAGATTTCTAAAAAGCTGGATTAGGGTTATGCATTTCTTTAGGTTAAGTCCATGTATGTGTTCATTAATTGGTTGTTTTCTGCAGGTTCTGATTGTTTATAATGGCGACGGGTGGCAGTCCATTTGAAGATGGCACAGATGAGCAGGAGCTGCACAACTGGACCATCTCCAATGGAAGCTTGGATGATAGACTCAACAATATGGTATCTATGAATCAATCGTAGTGATAGCCAAAGCTGCGTGTTGGAAGTGAGAAAGTGGTATCGGGACATCACTAGTTTTATACATGTTGATTTACATATCTGAATGGGGAAAAAAAAAACATGAATTATAATATAACATTGCAATATGTTTATAGCTCTTAAAATTCCTAAATAAAAGAGTGCAAAGTAATGCATTCTTAGTCAGAGGTAGCATTCAATAAAACACGCCTAGCTTACTGAAAAAAAGTGCAATCTGTCATGACACATTAAATAACCACAAAATAGTAGCCCTATGTATGGTTTAATTTTCTTTGACTGACCAAATTTGAAAGTTGAGACTTTATTAAATGTTACCGTCTTGGTCCTGTCTGTCAGCGTGTTGTTAGTGTCCTCTATGTATTTTCCATTACATTAATAGCTATAAGTGCATACTTGCAGCAGTCTTGCACGCGCTTAGAGCTTGTGTGAATTGCACATATAAAATGAACAACCTCGATCCATCAGGAAACGCCACATAGGTCACTGCGCTTCGTGACATTTTTTTCCTTTTGCGCGAAAAAGCCGTTCGCCTGAGATTTGTTAAAAGATAGCGATAGTGCATTCATGATTATTAAGCTTAATATTAAGCTTAATGAGGACACTCAACAAAACGGACAGTTTGGCATAATTTGTGTTATGGTTCGTTCAAGCCCGAAAGAGAACTCGATACTGACACACATTTTTTTTGGGTTTGTGTGTGTGTGTTTGGGGCTGTTTACACAGTCTGAGGACCCACTCGTGTTGCTACTACTATCCGGCGACGCCATCTTTGTTTTGGGTCTGACGAATCGTCGTGCATATTTTGCATCAACGTATTTTTTGCATCAACGTAATCGAAGACGTCGACGCTTTGTACCAGCCATACCTCTGTCATGTTTACAAGCTTAAATTATGAATGGGGTATTAATGATTTATTTTGTGTTGTAGAAAAAAAGTTGTAGAAAATATCTTGAGATTGTGTGACCTTATTTCAGGAATTTAACCAAAATAACTAATTTCTAAAGCATTTTCAGCCTATGTGCTCTCTATGTGGTTTGTAAATGTCGATTTACCATTCTCTCAGGATTGGGGAGTTCAGCAGAATAAGGCCAACCGCTCCACTGAGAAGAACAGGAAGAAGATCTCTGCTATGTCAGCGAGCCGGCTAACCAATGACATTTCTCCAGAGTCTACTCCTGGAGCAGGGCGAAGGAGGGCACGTACGCCCCATTCCTTCCCTCATGTGAAGTATAGCACACAGATGTCTGTGCCCGACCAGGCTGAGCTCGATAGACTCCGGCAGGCCATAAACTTCACAGATCTGGATGAGGTGAGTGGGGATTTATAACCATGATCAGATTTATGACACACTTCACTGACTCGATTTGGCTGAGGTTCTAAGCTTGCTTCTGTTTCAAGACAAAGAGTGCATGGATTTGAACTAGTTCAGAGACAAGCCCTTAAACGCATAGATCACTATCAATTACAGGCTATCTTTAAAAGTAAATGTTAATGTCATCCTTTGGTAAACTAAAATTTCACTTTTCATCCTAACAGAGAAGTATTGGCAGCGATTCTCAAGGCCGCGTCACTGCAGCCAACAATCAAAGACAGCTGTCTAATGAGGCCAAGAAACCTTTCAACTTCCTGTCAATTCACCTCAACACTAACAAAAGCAAAGAGCCCAGTGGATCCACCTCTTCCACACCTGGGGGAAAGGAACCCAAGAAACAGAGTCCTGGGAAAGAGCTCTTTGCTGCAGTTCCGGCTGTGGTTAAAGAGCCTTTTGGTCTCGACAGTGCCCATCAGTTTGAATTGGAGGATGAAAGAGCAGAGCTCTCCATTGACAGCAGTCAGGTAACTAGGATGCATTTGATGTCTTTATAATGTTTCTATACTAGGGGTATGTTCAGACTGCCAGCAAAATGTTTTATTTGTTTTGCATATCCAGATTTTATACAGTTGTATAAAACTGCAAAAAAGTTCGGAACTGGTGCTGGTTCAAAGTTGGTTCAACTTGCGAACCTTCTCAGAACCTGTTTATTTTTCCACTGACTAGAGAGCCCAGCGAATGATGTTCTGTCACAGTGTACGTCGCCATACATCTTAGCTTTCCCAAAAACGCTTGTGCCAACTTCAAGCATAACAATTACAACAATCCCGCCCCCAGTGTAAGCATGATGTGGTAAAAGAACGGTTCTAGACCAGCAATGAGTTGGTGCCACTTTGGAACCAACTTTCCTTTCCGAGAACCGATTCTTTGGCTGGCGAGAAACAAAGAACTGGTTTGAGAGTAGGCACCGGCTCTCAAAATGCTTTGGTGGAAAAGGGGTAAATCTGGACACTCTGACTGCTCAAATCAGATGTCAAACTTTTTTTTTTTTTGTATCACTCTTTAACCCAGGGGTCTCAAACTCAACTTAACAGGCTGGGCCAAGTGTTCCACAAAAAAAATGTATTCAATTATTCCAAAAAGGGAGCACAACTGATCCAATCTTTATTATTAATGTTCTGAACTGTTCCTCTGAATTTGAGCATTCCTTTCTGTAAATGATTTGTTCTTCATGAGTCCTTCTAACCATTGAAGTTCATTTTACAAACTTTTTTTGTCTTTTCCTTGTACACAACATCTTTGTGATACTTATATTTGCTCATGTCCTTTTTATTTTCTTTATACAACATATTAATATGATATTGAATGTTTTTTGGAAGGCACATTTCCTTTTATTATACTTAGAAAAACAATTATTGCTTTTGAAATACTAATATTTGCAGTCATGACTGCCCGTCTTACTGAATTCTTTCTACACATGTATAGTGTCTCAGACAAATTACTGACTTTAATGAAACTTGGGAGGCAGATGGCCGTTATTCTTTCACATATCTTAGCATTTGGTGTGTGTATGTGTGCATACCATGCGTGCCTATGAATTATTTTTTCATACACTCATTTGTATGTGTGCGTGTTTGAAAAACTGTCCTAAATGAAAACTGTGAAACCCAATGTCACAAAGACTTGGATACTTCATTTTTCAACTTTAAAGGTCCCCTGACATGAGTTTTTGTATTATTTTATAATGTTTCTTGGGTTGCCCTTATAATGTTAGTATGTTTTTTTTAGATCAAAAATAGTCATAATTTAGAAATAAAAGGCATTTTTCCTAGCCTGATTTTAGCCTCTGCTTAGAACACTCTGTTTGAAGGGGCGTGTCTGCTGTGGGATTCAATTTAACCGCCCACTGCTGTGATTGGCTGACATGCTTGCATATGAAATAGCTACATATTACATGTGAAACTCTATTGAATACGTTTTACTACAGCTATTATACGTTTTTACTATTACAGATATCGAGATTACTGAATTGTGAAGTTTTTGAAGTATTTAGATTCTCATCACATAAAATGTTGCTGTGGTGAGCATTGAGCAAGCAGATGACAGTCTGTCGATCGCGAGAATGAAGATCCTATTGTATAACGCAGTTTCTGTACTCTCTGCTTTCACCAATGCAGACACGATGATGTACATACAGTAAGAGCTTTGTTGTGCAGTGTAACACAGTTTCTGTTCTCTCTAAAGCCCAGAATTCGTCCGCTCTCGTCGAGGTAAAAAGCTGCACTTGAACTCACCGAGAGAACAGCAGCCGACTGTCAGCTATAGCCTAATGTGCGTTCTGCGCCTGCATTTAATGAGCCAACTGTCTATTTCTGCAGATATATTAGTCTATATTCGTCATTCAAAAAGGAAAACCGACGCTGCCGGTTGCAGATACACATAACGTAAACAAAGCATGCTCGTGCTTACCGTTCTGAATATCAATCCTTATCCTGCTAAACACTTTCTTTAAATAAGATTATTTTCATCCTACTCAAAGAAATGATGTGAAGTTGATAATAGTCTGGCTTGACTTACTGATGCATAAACAGTATCGAACGATTTTGAGAGAAAGATTAACTAACCTGTCTTCTGCCTGTTGGACCATACAAAACTTTGGGAGGTGAGTCGGCGCATTTCCAGAGAAAATAAAATTAACCCATTGTTTCTTCAGAGGCGCGGATGAAGGAACTAAAAAATACTTTTGTGTTCATTTGTACATCTGAACACTGAGAAACTGCCATGCTTCGCTCGTTTGCAAGCCATGATATTTCTCGTGGAAAAACTCAAATCTCGTATTTCTCTAGGAAAAAATAAAACCGTGCCTGCGCATGTTCGTACTTCCTGTTCCTAGCTCGTTTTCTCATGGTCGGTCTCTGGGCGGGCAAAGCAGAGAAAGGGGAGTAACTTTTCCCCTATATGACGTTATATAGTGGGAGATTCTAGATCAGCGTGTCTGAGATGCAGACGGATGCAGAGAAGAGAAAAATAGCCAAAGCTCGGTTTACACCGATTGAAAATTCTAGACACGAGGGGACCAAATACAGTCTAGGGGAACTCATATTAATGTTAAAAAAACTTAGAAAATGTCATGTCAGGGAACCTTTAAAGTGTTAGTTTCTTTCGTTTGTGTTAAATAAAAATCAGAAAATGTATTTGTTTTTGTTTTTTTGTTTTTTTTTGTCTATTTAAATTCTATTTACAAACTCGCCACACACAATAATGGTCAATAACTTTAATTTGTTGAAAGCTAGTCTTTTTCTGAAAAAGATGACACCTTGCACATGAAGATAGCACGTTGGTTACATAATTACTTTCTAATGAGAATGATTTTAGTTTTGCTTTTTCAATGCTCCATTAGCATTCTAGATTAGATTTGAGTACTTTTTAAATTGAATCTCTGCACGTCTTTTTTCCCCCTCATTAGTCTAGCACCAAGCATCATTAATAACAACTATTATAACACTGCCTAATAAGAATAGCCAGGAGTCCGTTTGTTAAAAGGTTTTGGAATTATTTTCTTTAAAAAAATAATAAAAGTAGATGGCACAACTTCCCTGTGTTCTTTCCCCCCCGTTGTTGCTGAGCAAAAACTGGAGCACAGATCTGTCAGTGACTGCTCAGAATTTAGGCCAGTTTAAAAATATGCCTCTGTCCATGTGAGAGCTCTTCCTTGGTCTCTTTCTCTGCTCCTCTCTGTCTCTGTGTGCACTTCCTTCTGTCTTTTCTATCTATTTCTCATTCTATTTTTTATTTGTTTATTTTATTTTATCAACATTTCAGCTTGGACCTATTTTTCCTCACTGAGCTTGTCTCTCCATTCAGGTGGTCAGTAAACTGGTGCAAATTCGTGAATACATTGGGAAGGCCACATCCATGAGAGACGACCTGGTGGAAAAGAACGATGTGCCTGCAAATGTGGAACGTCTTTCTCTCCTTATCACTCACTTGAAAGAACAGGAGAAGTCTTACTTGCGTTTTCTTCAGAAGATGCTGGTCAGTATTTCCCTCTCCAGTTTTTAGGAAGTTGTAATTGTTTTATGCACTTTAATGACATAAGAACTAATTAAAATTTAAGAACATTGTCATGACCATTTAAGTATGTTAGTTGACAATTACAATATACGTATAACCACTTTTTAAAATACAAACTTTATTTGTGAATTAAGTGAGTGATCTGCTAAACCTCAATGCTGTTCAAGGACTTGCGTCCACTGCTTGAATATCTAAAATAGGCCGTCAAAGTTAATGCTTGTGGGATCTTCTTTTGAACCCTATTTAGTCATCTGTCATCTGTCTGCTATTTTGCTATCTTAAAAATTGTCACTGAAGCTCAACAAATTTAAAATGTCCATCATTTTGACAAATACAAATCTGCTGTTTTAAAACTGTTAAACTGTTAACAGTTTTAACTGTTGCCGCTATTAGTCGATGGCAATTTTTTTTAGTTGACGTGACGTTTTAAAAATGACCGCATCCCTTGCATGTTTTATTTAACTAAATACATCATAATCAGCTATAACGTGCACCCGAGTCCGTGATGCTTTCACATTCACGCGAACCACGGTTTACACCATGCACGTAGATGTAAACGCGAGCTGCATATCTGCGTGCCTGCCCGCCTTCAGCGCGATTCATTATAAGGCAGATCTAAGCATATTAGGCTAGTCCAGACTCTTTCAGTTCAATTCCAATTTATTTGTATAGTGCTTTTCACAATACATATTGTTTCAAAGCAGCTTGAAAATGCACTTTACAATTTAGAGTGATGTTATTAGTTATGCATTTCAGAAATGTACATATACAAATGTGTACTGTATTAAATGTGTAATGTATTAATTTAAGGCATAACAAAGAGCTAATTTAAGTAATGAATACATCAATGTTTAGGACATGATTTGAAATGCAGATACTTATGCTTAGATTGTTAATACATAATGTTTTTTAACAGGTGACATTTTATATTTTGGCCCTTCAGTTGAGTTCAAAATAAAATGCACACAACGAAACAACAAACAATGTTTTTTTTTTTTTTTTTATTTATTTATTTATTTATTTATTTTTTTAAATATTAGTCATTTAGATTAGTCGACTAATCGAAAAATTAGTCTTTAGAAAATTAGTCGTTAGTGGCAGCTCTAAATACTACATGTATTAACCTTAGTTAATGCTAAAAATGTAATCTTATTGTAAAGTGTTACCATTTTATATAAATCCAAAGAGTCTGCTATGCTTAAAGATGGCCATCTTTAAATATCTGCAAATGCCAGAGCATTAAAATTGCATAAATGTATATTACATATATAGTTTCTTACTTTATCTGCTTCTATATTAGAACATTTGATGATTATCTAATAATCTAAAAAACAATATGTATTGCAGTGATTAAAAAAATAGAATCGAATGTTTCTGATCAGTATGTTTCTGATTTGTTTGTTTCTGTCGGCTGCATGAATATCAATGTTGAGAAATTAATCACGTCACTAGCTTTAAATATGCAACTTCCCCCGGCTAATAAATGTATAAAAGGGACCAGCCGGATAAACTAATGCAAATAGATGGTAAGAATTGCGACATTGAACATTTGGGTCTGGTTTGCGTGTGTTTTTGTCACATTGTTTTGAACCGCTTGAGGTACTAATGTTAGAGTCCTCCTCATAGCATCAATGGTAAACATACTTCTGTTCTTTCTTTGCTAATGCAGCATCTAGTCCACAAATGAATCACTTTCAGGGCTCCAGACTGCTACCAAATAAATTTGAGAGTGTGCGACTGAATCTTACATCCAGTCGCATGTGCGACCAGTAAAATGCCACACATTAAATGCATGGTTAAGCATGGCACAACCTGCTATGTGCGTCTGACCGATAAGCGAACTATCGACTCGTTACCGAGTAGCAAATGCAAACAAAATGAAAGTGGAACGAAAATACACCACTCATTTATGCTTCACGACAGATAATATATGCCGCTTGGAAATAGAACAGATATTGTTTAGTTTAATTATCGTTATAACTTGTATTGTCGTCTTGCCTTTTCCACTATTAGTAACTAGCCTATTGTAGCGGAACCCGTCCCAGTCCGATCTCTATCACGCAGCACGCTTGCGACACAGTATTAAGCCACCGAATTAATAACAACGCTACTAGGCCTAGTGAGAAGCATTCTGATTCGACGCCGAATTCTGTTTGAACAGCGCTAATGTGAAAACCAGGAGCAACATTTTGCCATGAATTAAGAAGTTATAGAAGGCCACAAATCAGCAACATTCATCATGGATTTAATGTAGTAACACTAACTGGTATTGTTGCAGACATAGTCAAATCCTTACTACACATCTTTTTCCAGTACTTCAAAACTCCAATATGATCTTCAATGTTATTTTTAATGTCATGACCAAATCATTATCTGTTCATCCTTCATACTTATTTAAAGAGTTGCTGCTGCCCTCAAATGTTAGTCTAGAGCACTGTGAACTTAAAATAAGACTGCTCATTGTAATTTCTGAATGTTAGGCCTATTTATTACCAAAGCTTTGTCCGTAATAGTGAAAATGTGAATAACTGTGTTGCAGGTTGATTTAAGGTGTATATGTGCTCCTAAACATTTTCAATATGGGTCTATAGTGCTCCTAAAAAAAAGTCAGTCTGCAGACCTCCATATCCATAAACTCTCTCTCCCTTGCATTAACATCAACATACACAGCAAATTACACATCTCTTGTTACAACTAACAGTAAACAATACAGGCAGTCATATGAATACTTTGACCTCGTATAACATGTCCAGTGGCATTAGACAAAGTCTCCACCACAATACTTTCGCCGCGATTGTGGAGAGACTCTCATAAAATAGCTCACTCGCACACTAGCTCCGCTTTTGATTGTACCGATTCAATGTGCTCTAACTCGAAGATTTTGTATAGAAGCATGACTTTTTTTGAGTCTGGGATGAACTATGACATGTCTGCCTTCTAGTGGAGGGTGCCTTCTTGTGATTTGATTCCGCTCTTGATTCAATATTGATTTATTTGGATAAATATTAGGTACAGTAGATACATGTTAACTTTTCTCAAGAAAAAAGAAATCACCTAATGCTGTAATTATACATAGAGCAAATTAAATATAATTTTTTTTTACTATAATAACGTTATAATATTTTAATGAGATAAGTAAAAATATAATAAATATTTAATATAGTGCACATCTTCAGCAAAATACTCTATATATAAATATATAATTTGTCTAGCCAACTAACGTGCTATCAGATGGCTTTCCTAAGGTAAATGTAACTGTGCCTGATGTTCTCCAGCTGTTTTATTGACCTTTCTGCAGTTCTGCTGAAAAACACTGATTGATCAATATTATGTTTATGAGGCATACATACATTTCGGTTAGTTGTACTGTATCTTTCAACACACCTATTGTTAATTCGTATTTATTTACTATAAACTAGTAAACGAGTAAGAGATGTTCGGTTCATGACCACGATCTTTCACGTCACATTTACAAGCACCCAAATGCTAGTGTTTGAATTTTGTAATAAAATAGAATCTGAGAGCTGATGATTTGTTTCATATCAAAACTGTCTAGTTTGTTGGTGTCTTCACGAAATAAATCTAACAATCGCTTATAAGTTATCATATCACGCAAAACCGTGCAAATTATACTTTGTTCTCAAATTGTTAATGTTAACAACGTAAGCAAGCATTGCATGACTTTATGTAATGTCCTTCAGATATGTATCCCTGTTTTCTCATGGATCCGGTTGCAGTCTTTTTTCCTGTAGCCACTCTGAAGTCCGAATAAAGTCTTTCGCATTTTACAGCAGGTGAATCTGTTGTGTGCTGTGAGAAAAGGCTATAAAACTCCACCTCTAGCATCCTCATGCAATATAGCCTACTAGCCGAGACTCCTTTTTTACGTGTACAGATATGACGTAATGAAAAACAATGTCACAATGAAAAAAAGCATTATTCCCAGATCCTTTGCAATGAGCAATTGTCTCTGTCCGATTCAGTTTACATCTCTTTATAAATACTTAAATGTAGCAGTATAGTGTCTGCAACTTCTAAATTGGGTCTGTTCTGAGCCCTGCCCCTCCTCCATACGCTCTACAGGCGAGGGAAAATGAGGATGATGATGATGAAGGTGCCACGGTGGACTCTGCCGTAGGTTCAGGCTCGGTGGCCGAGAGCACGTCTCTGAACTTGGAGCCGCGTTCTGAAGCCTCCAGTGCCACTGTGAGTACTCACAAAGACTCCTTCTCTCCTCTTGATGCCTGAAGTGAACATTGATTAGAATGTACCGGGCATGCAAGGTGGAATTTAGAGCTCAAGCTTTGAAAGCATAGTTGGCTACTTGGATTGCTGCTTCCTCTGAACAGATGGGGGCTTTGTTTGTTATTTATTTAGCTATTTTTACCTTGTTCTTCTTGTTTGTCATTGAATGGCAAGCAAGTTGTTGTCGTATCTTGTCGTATCGTAGAATTAACCACTTTTGCTGGGATTTCTTTTGTTGTGTGAATTAATGGCTAATTGTAACATTTATGTGACAGCACGAGTTGTACGTACAGATGACCAAGATGAGTGATTTATACTTTGACTGTGTCATTTTAAAATGTGTTGAGATCTAGCAGGTTGCAGGAAGCCAATTGATGCTGACTCATTTCCATGAAACTGCTTAATGAAATTTGAAGCGTATGCACCTCAACAGGTTACTTGTCTCTTTGTCGTTTGTTGTTTGATTAACATTAATGGCACAGACAGCAGCAGAAATATTAGGCCGCTGTCACTTTTTGAAATCACAGATCCAGTATACTGAAACATATCCCATCTGTTTATGCTCACTTGAGACATAACCAACTGTGTTTAAGTGAAAACTCACCAAGCAGAGCATTTTGGCATATTTCTGTGTGTATTTGACTGTTTAGGTGTGAACTTGAAGCCCAAAATATAATTTGGTTGTTCGTGTTTCATTCCATCTCGGCGTGCGTGCACATAAAGGCGCATAGGATTCAGTATCTTTTTCACGGCTTGATGCAGTTAGTAAATGACTGATTTTCTTATTCGAAGGACAAGCACGACAAGGTTTATTGTTAAGCCCTGACATTACTACACAGCTCTGGGAGATCCAGTGAGAAAGTTTTTGAATTTGCCGCAAAATTAGATTATGGGGGGAAAGCATTCAAATTTGGTACAGAATTCAGTTATTAACCACAAATATCAATTCAAACAGCGCTGATGTGGAATCCAGGAGAAACAAACAGAAGTTATAGAAGGCTTTTTAATTCACAAATCACCAACATTCACCATGGATTTAATGCAGCAACGCTAACTGGAACCATGGTATTGTGGCAGAAATAGTCTTTTTTTTTTTTTTTTTACATTATTTATCTGAGGGTTCGTACAATATTTTGAGAGTGAAAACTTTACAAAAGGTGCGTTCTTTACTTGTTTTATTTGTAATCACTGATGCTGTTGGTCAGTTCAGTATGATGCTATAGAACAACAATGGTACATTTAAAAAGATTAAAATATTTAAATTTTCCTTAAAATTGAAATTAAAATGAAAATTAGGTTTTGCACGTTACTGTTAATAAAAGTTGATTTTAACAGCATATCAATTCAAGCTCGGTGCTTTACTGTTAAATTTCCAGTAAACAAACATGTAATATTATTTGATACATTGTTATATTATACATATTATTTGATGCACTTGATACATTTTCCTCCAGCGCTACCAAATCAGTATAAAATGGCACTCTTCTCTCTAAAATGGTGCTTCTTCTCTCAAGTCTTAGTCTAGAGCCCTGATTGGGCAAGTGTCAGTTGTGTCAGCTGACCTGAAACTCTTTCACTTTGGCCCTTGGCCAGTGGTGATCCTTATTGTTGAACCCAGACATTAGCTGACTGTAAGTGTTCTATGTACTACAGTCTGTAACATCAACATGTTGTTGCTATTGCATAGTTCCACAGATTGATACTTGTCATTTGTTCTATTGATATATTTGTCGTTCCTTCTCAGGGCCGTGGGGTGTGTGTAGAGCAGAAAGAAGAGCTAGAGAACATGCGGAAGCAGCATGACCTACTAAAAAAGATGCTAGAACAGCAGGAGCAACTCAGAGCACTGCAAGGCCGTCAGGCTGCACTACTGGCCATGCAGCAAAGTGCTGAACAAGCCATAGCAGTGATGGACGACACTGGTGAAGGTATTATGTTTACTTCGTGTTTCTGGAAGTTAGAATTATTTCCATTTTTATTGTGTGTGTATATATATATATATATATATATATATATATGTGTGTGTGTGTGTGTGTATTACAGTTGTTACAGAGACTACTGGAAGTGTGTCTGGCAGGAGCATAACCTCAGAGCTCAATGATGAACTTAATGATCTTATCCAGCGATTCCATAACCAACTGCATGATTCTCAGGTACACACACACCTAACCAGCTACATCTTTAAATGTATACATTTATGTATACCTTGTTCATTGGAATATAGCAGGCAAAACACTAAGATTTATATTAAATTATAATATAAAGTATACAGAATACACTTATTTGTTGCAGTTTTACATTTTGATATCTAGAAGTGAAAGCAATTGTTGAATAATTTGCATGTAAATTGGTTCCTTTCTACAGACAAAAGTTCTATTGTGTTAGCCAGATAATATAACTGATGGCTCTACAGTGCGACCATTTTGCTCGCATATGCCCCTAAAAATCAATATGTGTGAACGGGAAAAATGATTTACGAGCACGTGCAAGTAACTACAACCTATCATAATCGAAAACGAGATGATAACTAAATAAAAAATAGTTTTGAATGACAAAAACTATGACAAATCTATTGACTTCAACAAATAAACAAATAAAAAACTAGACAAATGTTAGATACTGACGATTTGCGAAGCGATCCAGTCAGAACTTGTGTTTTATGTCGTGGAAAGATGCAGATGTTCACAGGTGTGCCAATGTGCTCCTAGCCTTCTCCCGAGTGATTGTAAAGTATGATTTATACTTCTGTATCAAATCGACGGTTTCACATCATAGTTGAACACAAAGAGCACACATGTAGTGTGTGTGTATATATATATATATATATATATATATATATATATAATAGTTTGTTAAACTCTTAATTTAAAGTTTTCACTGCGGTCCAAAATTTCTTTGTGTGTGCCTACATTTTTTCATTTAGGAGCACATGTCCTCCTTGGGAAAAACCTTAGCGTAGAACCCTGTAACTGCATCGCATGGCTTATTATTTGAAAATGTACGTGACATTTTTGAAAAAGTAGTCTGTTCCTCAATAAAGCAAAATCTAACTACAATTTTTTTATTTCACTCTTTCAGTCTCAGTCGGTCCCTGACAACCGGCGACAGGCAGAATGTCTCTCTCTTTCAAGAGAGGTGTGCCGGTCTCGCACTACCCATAATTCACGGGGTCAGTTGCCCTCCTCTGCCCCCCTAACTACTGCATCAACCTCCACCAGTGCTAAACTTACCAAACTGCAGGAGCTACAGGACAAAAAGCAGACCATGGACCAGATCCTTGAGGAGCTCCACTCCCTTAGAGACCAGACCCTCAACAACAGTTCCTGTAAGCCTCCCCCTCACACAGCAGCACATGCAGTTACTATAACACTTTCCATTTTTAAAAGGTCCCTTCCCTTTAGATGATTTCAATTGTGCATTTTTTCAAAATAGTTGGTGTTGCATTAGATGCTTCTGATACATTTGTGTTCAAACGTACTGTTATTGGCCAAGTAAGGTGTTTGTGTTTCTTCAGGTCAGGGTGTCAGTCAACGTGCTGCACGCATGGGCATGTCAGAGCGTCCCTCAGTATTGGGTAGAGAGGGAAATGGCCCACGTCCAGTGAGGCAGGACCCCTCCTCCTCTTACACAGAGATAGTTGATAACAGCCACCCTGCTGACAAACTCAGGTCTCTCTTTTCATCTCATTTGATCTCACTTCGATGATTGTACCAAAGCGATGTTATTTATTTTTTATTTTAGTGGTTCAGTGTATTTGATGCCTGGTTTGTCACTCAATGCAGGAAACTGAAGGAGGTGCACAAGCGTTTGAATGAGCTAAGAGAGCTTGTTCAATATTATGAACAGACATCAGATATGGCAGTGGACATGATAAACGAGAATGTAAAGGATGACAATGAGGGAACAGAGGACGGTTCAATTTTTGAGGTCATGTTTGATTCAGAACAGGAGAACCATGAACCGGTCACCAATATCAGGTACTGATTATAGTAATTTAATTCTTTAAGTAGTTTATTTTTGTGCTGTAGTCAATCTCAAATCTTCTTTTAATTGATATTCAGGGTTCAAAACAAAAATTGTGTGTGCAGGAATGAAAGTTTAATGGACAAAACAACAGTATAAACATTAAAATACACACTGTTGTGAAAGTATTATACACAAAACTCATAAAATATGAAGCGTGATACTCTTGTGGCTTACCAAAACCACCCCGCCTCCTTCTGCCCCTGCCCAGCCCTGACCCATTGTTGAGGTTGACCTCACTTTACCTTATGTCTCAATGCTAATTGTTTTTCCTTGACATTTGATTAAATGGTTATTGAGGGTGTAAGGACATATGCCTCCCATAAATGTACACGTGTCTTATGTGTACACTACGAATACAGCTTTGTAGCCTTACCACCATTAACCACCAATAATCGCAATAAGCATCGCGTTTGGTTACTTTCGATAAGAAATAGTGTAATCTTTAAAATTCTGTCCATTTTATCACCAAATGCACGTGGTTTCAGTGGCATAACAGAGCACAAGAGAATGTGGTAATTTCTTCCTCTTTAATACCAGTTATAGAATTTACATGAATTAACATCTGAAAGTATGTTGAAAAATACTTTATGCATCATATCTCGTGTATCAGCTCGATCAGTTTTTCAACGGTGGAAAGACATTAAAAAAAAAAACAGCTTGTAAACATTGTCATGTACATTTTTGTTTCAACAAGATCTTGAACACACAGTTGATTTAGTTAGGTTGTTGGGTTTGTGCTCTATTGTCAAATATTAGAATCTGCTCCAATCGATGGAAACGGCATGTTGAGTTTCAGCTAGTCGTTAGGTGCGTCCCCAGCTTTAATGCGATCAGTTCAAGTGCCAGCATGAATCAAGGGCACATGAACCAAGCATCACTTTTTCTATCTGTACTACTAGTTATAACTCTCAGTAAACATAAATGAAAATCTTACTGAAATGCATCATGTCTCATGTTATCGCTCAACCGTGGAAAGGCTTATCAGCTTAAAACTAGTGTCATGTTACTCTACATTTACCTCTGGAAAGCCATTCAATGTAAATAACTCCTTTGCTAGATAAAAAAAAATAACTCTAGAGAGGAACATTTGGCTAAATATATGCACTTTATTACATCAGCATTGTGTTTTATTTAGTGATGTCTTATTTATTCAAATGTACATTAAGTCAGCCATTCAAACTTTTTATTTTTATTTTTTTTTATGACAGACATGTTTAGATTTTGAGTGTCTGAAAATCTACAAATTTGAGTGGAATAATATTAATCTCATTAAAAAAATGCATTGTGCAATTTAAATCTTTGGAATTTGCCTTTGAATTGCTTTGCAATTGAATTTAATAGTTTTGACTGTTAATTTTAAACTTTTGCTAATGTATCAGCTGACAGGGTTACCTGCATGAAAAATTATATATATATTTATATATGGATAAATCAATAATGGATCAAGGATATCTTATCTAAATTGAAACCAATCATGACAATGGCCATTTTTGTGATTTAGAGGCAGCATGCTCTGCTTCTGTGAGAATTGTTTCTGCTTCTTGTTGTTAATTGTGGGCAAATTAGAAATGTATATATTTTTGTTTTTGTAGAAATCCAGCCCAACCACAGACTCCAAGTAACTGGATGGACATGAACAGTTTGACAAAGGCTCACAGCACCTCCAATAATAGAGATGGCCGTCTGAACACAGAATGTGAAATCAATAACCGCTCAGCAGCCAACCTCCGTAGTCTCAACGTCCCTTCAATTATAGGTCAGACTCTTTCAATTTCTGTCAACCGTTTGTAAAGATTTGTTAACTGAATTAAAAGCATGCTGTGCTAACAAAGGTGTTCTAAAACAAAGAACACATCAACATAAAGCTGCACGATTACTTGAACACGATCTCGATTAAAACGGCCACCCGATGTTATTCATAAATGACAGTGTTTCCGCTATTGTCTATTAAACTTTTGACAAGTAGCTACGATCACAGCATACATTCAGATTTGTGTTGGTGCTGCCACTGACCCAGAGAGGGCAGTTGTCATGAACAGGTATGAAACTGCTTCACAAACAGTCTTTTCAACCACACATTATCATCATTTCTGTATTATAATAACTAAAATTATCACAGAAGTACAGGGATAAAAGTTTATCGTTTGGATATAAACACTTTTTCTACTCTAGCGATCAAAATAGACTTAATCACCTTTTGAAAGTAACTTGACGCTTCAATAAAAATAGCCAATTACATTGTTACGCCACTAGGTGGTGACAAGTGACTTAAAAATATATTTGTCATTGAATTATTCGCTGATTCATCCAAGTGACTTAAAATGTATCTGTCATTTAATTATTCAAGAAATTTGTTAAACACTGATTCATCCAATAATGAAACAAGGGAAGTATTAATGATTAAGTCATTGAATCATTCATTGATTTATAGACAAACATTTATTTGAAGTAATTAAGTATTTGTTAAATATAAAAGTATTTTTAAATACTGCAGCAATTAACATTTTTTTCAGAACCTCTTATAAAAACAAGACAAAATTACGCACATCACTGGCAAAAATATACTCACGGTTGGGTGCTCGTCAAAATAAATGATACAAAAAAAAAAAACCCAGAGTTGGCACACCAAGCTCCAAAATATGCAAAACAAAAATTGTAATAGTGGAGCCAGTGTTGTAGTACTCGAGACTCGGAGACCATATTTTAATGGTCTTGGTCTTGTCATGGACTCGTGTCCATTTGGACTCGGAATTGACTCGTACTCGAACATTTGTTTTTTTTACTCGAGTTCAATTAAACATATTTTTCATGATTATTAATGTATGTTAATAAAATATTTCTTTAAATTGATTGAAACGCCCAGTGATTGGTGATTTTCTAGTGCGCAACTGCGCATGACAAATTTTAATAAAATTACTTTTAACACCACCTACTATGTGGCCTTTTTACCCTAAACTGATCATATTTTTTAAACTCTAAGTAAATTCAGTAAAAAAAAGTATTTCTCTAAATAAATAAAAGTAAATTAGGTAATCAACCCTCACTGGTCTCGGTCTCGACTCGGACTCGACCGTCTCTGGTCTCGGACTCGACTCGGACTCGACTCTCTATGGACTCGGTCTTGACTCGGAGACTCGGTCTTGACTCGGACTCGACTCTCTCTGGTCTCGGTGTCAACTCGGACTCGAGTGAGGTGGTCTCGACTACAACACTGAGTGGAGCAACCAGGCTCAACCAGGAGCAACCAGGCTCTATAGTGTAATAGTTGAGCAACCAGGCTCTTCTTCAGACAGTTAAAAGTTATTATCAAGAGTTTTTTTTTTTTTTTTTTTTGGAGCTTTGGTGGGCTGACTTTTTTTTTTTTTTTTTTTTTCAGAACCTCTAATAAATGTATTTTTTTTTTGTCGTGATCTGTTAAATCGTGATCTGTAAAAATAAAATAAAAGCGGATGTAAATATCCAGAATCGTGCAGCTCTATATGAACTATTTCTTTTATATTCATTGTAATCATTTCAGAATGCCAGTTCAACCGGGACAGGCCTCACGTTGAAGTTAAAGATGAGGATGATGATGAGGCACTGGAGGATGATGTTGATGGAGCAAGAGGAGGAGGCATAGACAGTGATGGTTCAGGGTCCAGTCGTAGAAGCAGTCTTGGTGGGGATGCAGATTATGCTCAGAAAGTTCATCGTCTTCAAACAGCTAAACAAAAACTCCGACAACTCCAAGAACTGGTGGCCATGGTGCAGGTGAGGGTCTGGTGCCATGAGTGTGATGTAAGATTCTGCTCATTCACAATGCAAATATAGTTTGAGTGGAGTTTGACTTAATAAAAAATAGCTCCCTTATACATTCTCCTGTCTGCCTTTTCTTTACTGTGCTTTGTCAACCTGTTGAAGACTTTTTCCTCTGGGTCTGTTAATGTTACTCTAGAGTGATGATACAGATGGTACTACAGCTAATGAAGATGAAGGTTTGAAGCAAAAACCCAATAACACCCGAGCAACAACTCCCAAAACCCAGAGAGATATCACCCTCTCTGATACGAGGAGGTTAGTGTTTGTGTCCCTGGATATATACTTGTATTTTCAGTTCATTTTGTGTCAGATGAGAACATACTGCAGCATGTTAGTTTTTTTTAATGTGACCTGTGTGAAACAACTTTTTCAGAGAGAAATTATATGAGGAAAAACTCAAGCAGCAGCAGCAGGAACTAAAGCAGCTCCATGAAGAGAGACAAAGGCTGATGGAGATTCAGGGCAAGATACAAGACATACAGTGGGCCTGCCCTGACCTTCAGGTACTTCACATACATTTGTGATTTACAGTAGGTCATTCAGTGTTTCCCTCTAGGATTTTTTTTTCTGGGTGGGTGGTAGATCCCCGAAACTACTACACGTGGTGTACATTTTTTAGTTGTCAAAAAGCCTGTCTAATTAATTGAAATCATGAAACTTGTACAATTATTACACTTATACAATATAAAAACACAAATTCTGTGATTTTTTTTTTTTCTTTATTTTTGGTAATCAAAGGAAGACAACATTAATTTAATTTATTTTAATCATATGAAATTAACCAAACTTTTGGTCTAACAATGTGTTGCACATTGAGCTTTACTGTCAAAATCAAAACATGTAAAACATTTCTTAATTATTTCTTAAAATAAAGTTTTGATAATTTATTTTTGTTAGTGTTAATATTTTTACATTGAGATGTATCTAAATTCTACTAGGGCTGTCACTTCACGTTTGAAAATCGTTTGCACAATCGGACTAACCAACACAAGTTTTGAAAATGAAAATAGGGAATCGATTTTAACTGCCTTTTTTTTTAAACCAAAAAATGTGTTTTAGGTGGACAGTTAACCAAATGCTTTTTAATATTCGCTTTTGCTTCAATGCAAGTGAACAAGCGTGCCGTTATCTGTTGCTTCTTGACGCCCCCCCCCCCCCCCCCCCCCCCCCAAAGAAAAACAAAAAACAAAAAAAACAATGGTAGGGGAAACACTGTTATTATGAACTCACACTGAACAACTGTAAAACTGCAGAGACTGAGTTTTATGATTTATGAATTTTCTTAAATCATGATGTGCCCTGTCAGTCGTCTGTGAGCAGTAGTGCTAGCGGTCAGATGAGGAGGAAGATTCCTGCAGCAGCCTCTACTCCCGCTCCTGTACCATTACACTCTTCTTCAGCTAAAGCCAACACTAGTGGCCTTAAACCCACCACTGAACCTCCTCAAGTCACTGTTACTGACAATGAGGTTTGTGTGAAATTTAAATAACAATTTTTCTGCCTTTATATATCAGGTAGGGTTTTAAAGGGATTGATCATTCAAAAAAAATAATTGTCGACATTTACTCACCTTGTCGTTCCAAACCCATGAGACTTTCATTCACTTCAAACTCAAATGAAAATCTTCTTAATGAAACCTGGGAAGTTTCTATCCCTCCTTTTTGAATGCCACCAATTGCAGATCAGCTGTACATGACGTGTGACATGCCTCTTTTATTCTCGCCTGTAAAGCAAGCTTGTTTGAGCTTCTGTTTACTATATTACTATTCTGTACTATATCTCTCTGGTTTCTTTAAAAATACCTGCATTTGTATACTGAAGATAAAAAAAGTATCATGAGTTTGGAACAACACGAACCTGAGTAATAGATGACAGAATATTTATTTTTAATTGAATTATCCATTTTGGGTGAATTTTAAAGGGATTTTAAGATTTATTTAATGAAGTATTATTAAATATCATTATTATTTTTTTATGTTTTTAAAAAGAGAAAACTATAGTAAGCCACTGTAGGTTTATTTCCTTGACAAGAGTAGCCACTGTCTACTGCTGTCAGGCAGGGGAAAGAAGTCCAAGGTTTTTTTAAAGTCATTTTATTATAGCACATTTTAGTGTTAGTGTTGGAAAGTTTAATAACTTTGTCTTTTTATATTAGCTATGGTCAGAGATGCGAAGGCATCAGATCTTGCGTGAGGAGTTGAGACAGAGGCGGAAACAATTGGAGAGTCTGATGGCAGAACAGCAGAGGAGAAGCACACTCACTGACTCTCCATTCAGGAGCGAGACACATGGGACCCAGTCCTACAGTCGTGATGAAAGGTAACACTTTTCTTTGATAGTTTATAATGGCTCATTTCAAAAAAGTGTTTTATATACTTTGAAGACTCAATTTTATGTCAGGTGCTAATCATCATTTTTGTGTCAGAACCGTGGCCACCTGGGGTGGATCGACACAGTGTCCCCTTGGTGAAGATGATGATGATGATGATTACTCTGAGGTGGGGGCTGAGGAAGATGCTGATGATGATGAACATGATGGAGGAGAGGATTCCAGTTCCACAGATGAGCTGCATGCTTGCTCCACCCAAAAACAGCGCAACTACAACAGGAATAACAGAGATAGGTAAACGCACAGGCACATACTAGAGTTTGATTAGACACCAAACCCAATCCATTGGGGTGGCAGTGGCTCAGTGGTTCATGTGGGTTGTCTACAAACCGAAGGGTTGGTGGTTCAATCCTCGGTTCCACCTGACCAAGTGTCGAGGTGTCCATGAGCAAGACACCTAACCCCAGCTGCTCCCGACGAGCTGGCTGGCGCCTTGTATGGCTGACACCACCGTTGGTGTATGAATGTGTGTGTGAATGGGTGAATGTGAGGCAATATGTAAAGCGCTTTGGTGGCCATTATTTCTATGAAAGCGCTATATAAATGCAGTCCATTTACCATTTACCATTATTAACTGTCTTTTCATTTTGCGCAGTGTGAAAATTCACAGGGAAGTTAATGGTAGTCCTTCCCCCCGTGGATCAAGGGGTTACCCTCGTCAGCAGCCACAGACTGAGAGCAGTAGTTCCAGCAGAGCTAAGCGGCAGGAGAACCTCCGATGGGCGGCTGATCTGTCTCTCTCTGAGGGCGCTGCACCAGCACACTGGCAGGAACAGATCACACACCTCCAGAAACAACTCAACTTCAGCACTACCATGTGCCAAACTTTACTGCAGGACCAACAGGTCAGAAAGTTTAACACATTTTATTTTTCCATTCTTTCACTTTTTTTCCTCACTTACAACTTTTTTTTTCCCTTCTCTCATCTCTAGACTCTTTCATACATGCTGCAAGCTCTGCTCACAGGTCCATATGGTGTTGTGCCCAATAATGTGACCTCTCCTCAGGTCCCTCTCATCATGCACCAACTAAACCAGTGTTACACACAGCTGGCTTGGCAACAGAACAATGTCAATCGGTCTGTCTAAATTTCTTTCGAAAATTATAAATGGAAAAAAAAAAGAATATAAGTTAGATTTTAAGCATGAAGAATGAGGCATTTGCTGTAGATCTACTACCATTAAGAAGTTTGGAATTTATTTTTGAAAGAACTTGCTTATGCTCACCAAGGCTGCATTAAAAAAATAAAATAAAAATAAATTGAATACCCCTGCAAAAGCGGTAGATTTGTGAAATATGACTACAATTTAAAATATCTATTTAAAAAACTATTTCTTCTTATTATCAGTGTTGAATTTATTGTAAGTTCATCACAATTTAATGCATCCTTACTGTTAGTATTAGCATTAATATTAGTAATTTGTTATTATTATTATTTTTTTTTTCTTAAATCTTACTGACGCCAAACATTTGAATGGTAGACAATGTCTAAACTGATTTAATGTGAAACAAGCTTTGGTTTCATTTGTCACAATGTTTAAAATGGGCTCTTTTTTTCTTGGCAGGTTGAAACAAGTTCTGAATGATCTGTTGCAGCAGCAGAGTCGGTCCTTGTCAGGACAACAGCAGAATCAAAATGTTACACGTGATTCTACATCCCCTCCCCTGTTCCTAAATTACCCACCGGTCAATACACTCAATATGCCTGGAATTCCAAACTTTTCCCCTTTCCCAACTGGTAAGTGTTATCCATCTCTAATTATTTGAAGAGTTCAGATGCAAAAGCCTCTAAATGCCATTTGAAGTTTTCTTCTTTAATGATGATTTTTATCAAACTTGTATATTTAAGTTCAGTGATTTCACTTAAATAACAATTAATAGGTAATTATCATTGCCATTTAAGTGAAATCACTGAACTTAAATATACAAGCTTGATAAAAATCATCATTAAAGAAGAAAATTTCAAATGGCATTTAGAGGCTTTTGCATCTGAACTCTTCATTTATATTGGGTAAATTACATATAAAATAAAATAAAAATATTTATATATACATACTTGTAACCTTTTTTCTTTCATTCTCTCTACTTTTCTATCTTTAGGCTTTAATTTCAGTCCCTTGTTTCCTTCCTCGGTAGGAGATTTCCAACAGAACCAGGCCGGTTCAGATCATCAGCATGATCCAAACATATCTGTCAAAACGGAATACATGAGTTTCCCCCCTCCACTACAGAGATCTCCTCTCAACACAGAGAAGAGGTACAAATGTGTTTCTGTAATTTGTATTAATATGATAAAATCTTGATGATTCTATCAATAAAGTCAGATGAAAATTTAAGAATGACCTACTTTATATATTGGTTGGCTGTAAAGTCAAAAAAATTATCTTGCTTAACCTTCTGGGGTCTAAGGTGTTTTTGGGGTCCTTGAGCTGTTTTGACATGCCCTGACATTTGTGCCTTTTTCAGTTGCTTATAAACATATTAATTAGTGATGCACCGATGTGAAAATTTGTGGCCGATACCGATAACCGATATTAACATTGCTGTTATGGCCGATACCGATATTTACCGATGTCGATATCCCTGTATAGAAAACACATAGCGAGGATTAGGGCTGCACGATATTGGTAAAAAATGATATAAAAACAATTTCACCAGATTACTTGAATAGGCCTAGCTCTATTTGGAAAGAATGAATCATTCTAGAATGACTGGGGTAGTTTTGTCATGGAGTAAATACGCATAGAAACTAATATTAATAGAATGTTAACAAATGTACACTTTAATAAATGGAACCTTATTGTAAAGTGTTTCCGATTTATGTCTCTTGAGCTCAGTGTTGGACAGATCAGTTGTTTTAACAATTCATTAAAGTGAATTGGTTCAAAGGAGTCATTAGTTCGCGAATCGGACGTGGCACGGACCACGGCACACGTTGTGTGATTATCCAGGCACGAGATTTGCCTCGACCTATTTTTACAGTCTATGGTTTTGACAGTCGACACAAAAAAACATTTCATCACCAGGTAGATTTTTATTTTATTTTATTTTTTATTGAAAGTGTGGTTATTTCATCTGATCTAAATGTGTGGAAAGCTTTTCAGAGAAGATAAGGCAACGTTATTTTAGCACAATTCACAACCAGTAGTTCAGAAGAAAAAAAACGTCGGCCTTTCGACCTTTTACCATCATGTATTCTCAAAGACATTCAGTCAACTCAATTCATAAACATGCGCGAGGGAGAAATACACATTAATACACAGAATGATCACTAATCTGTGTGTGCATTTTACTTTAGAACCATGCAATTTGACTCATGAAACCATTTGTTTATTATATCGCAATCGCAATATTGACCTCAATATTCGCAATATGACATTTTCCCCAAATCGTGCAGCCCATGTATGTACATGTTTGTATTTTTGAGAGAATATTGTTTGTGCATGATAATATTGAATAAACTGAAAATTAAAGTTGCTGAAATAAGGTCACAAAACACATACTATGTGTCCACAAGACTTTTGACTAATGAGTGATCAGGATCAGCAGAGTAATTTGAGTCTCTTTTGCACTAATAAGAAAAAAAGTAAGATGGTATTGCCGGCAATACCGCCGACCCCAGAGGGTTAGACTACAAAAAAGGAAGAGAAACCTAACAAATCATTTTTATTTTTACTTTATAGGTTTCAGTCTCAACCTGATACTGTGGCTGATGCTAATAACTCGAGCTGGTTAAACTCCTCCCTCAATCGCTCTGGTCAGAGACCCACTCTGTCCTCTGGCCATACAAGTCAGATAGAGAAGAACTCCCCTTCCTCCTCTCCTATTCCTCACCCTTCCATTTCCCGGGATCGCTCCTACATACCTGACTCCCAGGAGTCTATGAGCAGCCTGCCAGACAGGGCAGACCCGACCACCGTAACCAAGACCTTTAGAGCAGGACGCAAGGCTGCTGCACAGGCCAGCCTGGCCTCTAGAGACAAGACCCCCAACACAAAGAGCCGCCGTAAGAGAGGCAGGGGACAGAAGAACACAGGTGTGTCTATATTTAAAGTTGACATACTCGGCCTTTAAAGGCTCATTGAAAAGCAAAGTTTCATTAATTGGGTTTATGGATTTAAAAATATATATTTAGTAGGGCGGGGTAAAAAAATATTGATTTCTCGATATTAATCGATTCTCATTTTTACGAACCGGTATCAATTCTTAAATGTCAAGAATCGATTAGTCACCCTGTTTTCATTTGAATGAATGGAACATTATAGCTCGCATCCCATCCAATAAATTGCAATAATCTTTGTGCTTTGGTACTATTGATATGAAATAAAGTTCAAATTACGTCCATTATCTTATGAAATTCAAAAACATAAGTATCGTTTTGGTGCTGTGGCGTGAGATCGCTCTGGCTCAGCTCAAGAGAAGCAGCAGTGCGGAGCGCACATGATATCCTCTTCTGCCTTAATATCAGTTACAGTGCGAAATAAACATGAATGAGCATCTGAAACTGTGTTAAAAGATAGAGTACAACTTATCGAAATCTGTTATGAAATCTGTCTGTTATATGTTAGTAAAACAGCTTGTAAACAATATCATGCAACATGACATTTACCTCAGAAAAACCTTATCACAAAAACTCAGTGACCATAAACTCATTAGTCAGCTACTAAAAGTAACTCTAAAGAGGACCATTTTGCTAAATATATGCACCATATTACATATTCATTATAATTTTTAATGTTCTTCAATATTTAATGCATGTTTGTATAAATCTGGCAAGTTTTTATGAAAGCCACCATTTAAATGTTTATAAATCATGTAACTTTCTTCGGAATCGAATCGCAAGCTTATGAATCGAAATCAAATCAAATTGTGTCATTACCCAACCCTAATATTTAGGCAAAAAAAAGCCTTGGAGTTAAAGACTCCATGTCTTAAATTTTAATTTAAGATTCAATCAAATGGGGTTAAATTGTGTTCTTTTCATTTTCAGCATCTGTGGATAGTGACAGTGTTTCAAGTGACTCTCACTTTGATCAGGACAGAGTGCGCTCCTCTCAGGTCAAATACAAAGATCTCAACCAAGGTCTGCTAGACAAACTCACACAGGAGAAACTGGACAGCAAGACTAAGAGCAGCAAGCCAAATGATCTCTCATCTGGTATGTATTTATATCCAGCTACTGATATCACTGAATAAAATGTCATAACACTAAATATCAAAACGTAGAACAATGAGAACTGTATTGTTATACAGTGTGTGTTATATTCTTCAATCAGAGAAGGTTCTGCCAGAGCAGTATAGCAGACTTTTTTAATTTGAACATCTTATGTCCCCTATGTCCACTATATTGTTTTATAGTGTCACTTATTTCATTTTTATTTCTGTTTTTGTTCATATTTCATTTTGGGTTTTGTTCTTCACAGCATATGCTTGGAGAACACCTTTTCTCTCTAACAGAATTGCATGCACTGAAGTCCCAGGTAACTCCAAGTTAATCAGCTGTTTGACCTGCTAACCACCTAATCTGCATGTTTTCCTTCTCCTCTTTCTCCTCTTCTTTTTTCTAAAGTGCATTCACATGTATAACATGCCTAAGAAATACTAGACATGGGCCCAATTTTTTTTCCATTTTCAGGGCATAAATGTCACACACAAACATAGATTGTTATATAGACAACTCCCCTGAGCTGTTTAAAGTTTATTTCTTTTGTTCACTATTGTCATTTCAGAACATTGGTAAATTGGGGAGGAAAGGGGAAGAGTCTGCTGGGCTGATTATAATACAAACCTAGTGTGTTTTGTTATGGATGTTTTATACCTTTGCTTTTGAATTGAAGACAGAAAGTATGGATCTGAGCATGGTTCTAATGAATATTGTGTGAAGTTCGGTACTCAAGGTGTTGCTAGTGCTGCAAGGTGTTGCTAGGTGTTGCTAATGCTGCTTATGTTAAGTATGTTTCCACAGTTTTTTGTATTAGTTTGCACAAACAGTAGTAGTTTGATCTACTCTTTATATGCTTGAAAAGTTTTAGTAGATTGTCTGTTTATCGTCTTTTGTTTTGTTCTGACTCTGTATATTTCTCTTCTCTAGATGTGAGCAGTGATTTCTCTCTTTTTGAGGCCCTGAGAGAGACGATCTATTCTGAGGTGGCAACACTGATCTCTCAGAATGAGTCTCGCCCTCACTTCCTCATTGAGCTCTTCCATGAGCTTCAGCTGCTCAATACTGACTACCTGCGGCAGAGGGCGCTCTACTCACTACAGGTACAGTCCTCTAAAAAACCCTGAAAATTTCAATCTTTTGTCAGCTTGTTTTCTTTCAATTTGGACAGGTTTTGTATTTGTTTTTGGAACTGATTGATCATTGGCCTTATTATTGCGTACCTATGTTTTTGAGTAAAAATTGTTTGTGTATAATTTTGTAATTTTTACTTAAAATATGAAGAAAAAAATGCACTGTTTATCACACTAGTGTGCTTTAATGTTTAACCAGGAAATTGTTTTGAAATGGTTTTAATTTTGTACAAAATAACAGTCACACACTTGTGGTACAAAAACAATAGCCTATAAATCACTCGGTACACTATTTAATCACCAAATATTGGATTCAGTCTTTTTCTCAACTTCATATATTTCACAAAATGGACAAAATTATCTACAAATAATGACTGAGGTCTGTAAGCTTTTACGATTTTTAAATGATGATCAATTCCAAATATATAGATAAAACTTGTCCTAATTGAAAGAAAATGAGTTGGCGAAGATTTAATCCAATATCAGGTGATGTAGCAAAATGAGAGATGTATAAGCAATATTTTGTAGGGCAGTCATTTTTGACTGGGAACAAGTGTTACAGTGTGGAGAAAAAACCCCACAAAAAGTATCAAAACAATTTTGGGAAGTTGTTAGACTCAGTAAAGTGAGAAGTCACTAACTTTTAGTCCAATGCAATAACATTAACTAGCATTTCCAGGTGCAGGAAAATGCTCTCCGTGGCAAAATAACCCAAACACAACCTGAGGGTTAAATTGAATTAGTCAAATGTACTTAAATAAAAGTAGCATAGAATGCGTTTGTGCACACACATCCTATGAGAGATATCAAATCTCATCTTTGGCTTTGGCCACCAGGACATTGTAACAAGGCACCTGACAGAGAAGAGTGTGGCAGATGAGCATGCGTCCTCTTTGGGTCCAGCTGTGTGGGCCACAGGCTCACAGTCAGAGCTCACACCTAGTGAAAGCTTGGTTACCAGTGACAATGTAAGTAATTTGCTTCCCCATCTGCCCATCTGATTTTCTATCTTTAGCTATCACACAGTTGATTTATTAATTTTTCTTCCTGGTTTTTCCAGGATGCATCTGAGAAGATTGTTACCGTTAAATCCAACTCTGTACTGAAGAGGGTAGCAGATAGAGATTCGATGGACAATGAGAGCCTGCTGTCCACCTCTTCCAACCTTGAACCCTTTGCTAGTGATGACTTGGGTATGCTTGCATATAGACACAATCATGTTAAAAACTATAGATGGGTTTAGGGCTGTCACTAACGATTATTTTGGCAATCAGGTAATCGGACGATTATTTTGTAGATTAATCGAGTAATTGATTTTTGTGTTTTTTGAAGTGTTAATAAAAATAGACCTAAGCAAACAATAGCTTTTAAAATGACTTGAAATACATATATAATAACAAGGCAATAATTGTTGGTTCAAATAAAGGATCAAAAGCAAGTAATCATATGGTTTTATAGAACAACACTGTTAAAATACATAATATACATATATGATATGATCAATCAACTTTATGTATAATTACACATCCCTTCATAGGCCGCCAACAACCTGGTAATTATTGTTTCACTTTACAGCAGATCAAGTCCTTGTTTAATATTTCCCAAATTACATTTAATTCAAATGTCAACTTAATATTTAACATTTGGCCACTTCTTTACGATAGAAATGCTACAGCAACTGACATTTCTCAGAATATGGGAACATCAAAACATGTAAATATAGAACTTTTATTTTGAAATTGTGATAAACAGTAACAGTTTACACATTTAGAAACATGTTGATGTATTCCCCTATGTTTGTGTAAGTTTATAAATTATTTACTTTACAAATCTGAATAAATATGATCCCAGATGAACGTTATAAGCAGCACAAACTCACAGCATATGTAGAGATGGAGTTTGAGGCCCATTTTACGCATATAAATAACAGTTTGTGTGTAGCAGCATTTATAGTGAACAGAGATGCACGTGACCTACAAACATGTAAATAAAGCGTTATATATTATATGCAGGGCATATATTTATTTAATTGATTCACAGCCTTTTTTAATTCACAATAGCCCTATGCTATAGTATGGTTTTTGGTTTTAATACATCGCGCAGCCTTAGAAAACGGTCTAATAATGTGGTTCTCATCCGTGTAATGCGCCACTTCCGGTATTTTGCAGGTTACTCTACATTTTTCAAAATCGAGTACTCAAAATGAATCGAGGAATCGTGACAGCCTTAGATAGGTTGTTTACCATGATCATGCTTGCTTTGCTGGGTTGGGGCTGGACTGAATTCTATCGTACTCCCCTTGAATACTTTCATGTTCCTCTCTCTCGCTCTCTTTCTCTCTCTGTCCCTTCGTTTCCTTTCTGCTTCTCCAGGCAACACAGTGATTCATTTAGATAAGGCATTGGCCAGGATGAGGGAGTATGAGCGCATGAAGCTAAGGGCTGAGTGTAACACAGATAACCCTGAGCACAGCCCTGGAGCTGCTGCTGCTGCTGCCTCAGCACCCACGCAAGGTATTCATGTGATCACTCTCAGACTTCAGAATAGACCTGAGATTCATTTGCAAGTGCTTCCAATGCAGGGCTCCAGACTGCGACCATTTTTTGAGAATGTGCGAGTTAAAATTTAAAAAAATCGCATTTGTGTGAGCGCATGGTCATGTACTCAGTTAAATTCACCATGCGCAACAGAACGCTGCTGGATCAGCAGCTGCTGCAGCCCGTATGTTCAAAATGAACGAGTACATCATGAATCCATTTTTCAAACCGTGTTTTGGACTTATCTCTACGGTACGCCTATAATAAGTGTGGATTTAATTAAATACTACTATTTTTCAGAGTCAGCTTTTTACTTTAACTTTTTAATAGTTTTTTTTTTTTTTTGAGAATATTTTGATTTGATTAAAACATTAAAACATTTTGCTGACATGAGGTCGTGTCACTGTCAGTCTTTTTACATCAGTATCAAACCATGGTATGCAGATTAAGACCACTATTCATCAGCATGCATTGATTAATTCCATGGTATGTAAAAAAAAAAAAAAAGTTCAACCAAATCATATGCTGGTGTGACCAACTGAGAAAGTTGGTAGCTCCAGTGTAACCAGTGGAAAAGTTAGTCTGGAGCCCTGCTAATGGCATGTCCCTACCAGATACAATGCGACAAGCAAATGCTCTAAAAATGGAAATCAAACAAATGGCTGGTTAGAAACTTTTATATGCCTTATTGCATCCACATCTGCTCACGATGGACACTGTCTTCTGATGTCACAGCACACATCACTGTCAGTGATTCCATGTCTAAAATGAGTAATTCAGGCTAAGAACAGCCTGTACCTTTGTGTCTGGTACACATATCACACCAACACATTTCGTTCATTAGGCTGAAAGTAACCTGGAATATGTCTTTAATTAATCTGCTTGCTTTAAACATGCATATAATAAATGTTTGCACAATCAGTGGCTGACTAAATACTTTTTGGCCCCATTGTATGTCCCTTTACATAGCTCTACTTATGTGTGTTGAATGGATTTCTGTGTGTGTCTCTCTATTTTTAGGTGCAGGACATTCGTCTGCAGATGCACATTGTCCTCAGATTGACACACAACAGCTTGACCGACAGATCAAAGCCATCATGACAGAAGTTATTCCCTTCCTAAAGGTGAGCTTGCTCTACTTTTCACTTTAACATTTCAAATAAATCAACTGTTTAAGCTGCAGTTCAGAGATGTGTTGTTTTGCATGCGTCTTTCTGTCAGGAGCACGTTGGGGAGGTGTGTTCACACCAGCTGCTCACATCTGTGAGACGCATGGTGCTCAAACTCATCCAGCAAAATGATGAAAGTAAAGAGTTTGTTCGGTTTTTCCACCGACAGCTGGGTGGCATCCTGCAGGTTAGAACAAATTTAATGTATTTATTCCTTCAAATTCATTACATTAGTTATTAGCCTAGTATTTGAGTTGCTATGGTACCAAAAGTTGTAAAATTTCACAAAATCTAATATTTTGCTATTGTTACATCTTTATTTCCAGCAAAAATGGATGATGTATCTTGATGTATCTTGATCTTGATGCATCTTGATCTTGATGATGTATTTGCTCTTATTGTGATATAGATGGTTATTTCGCACACCCCTATATGAATAAAATGCATTTTTAAAAATCATGGGTGTGTTTGAACGTGACTCTGATGCCTAAAAATCTGTGTCGGAAGCCCACTAGTTGCAGATTTCATACGGCCATGAAAAACATGGAATTTTAAAATGGAAATTTCTAGGTCTGGAAAAGTTTTGGAAAAATAAATAAACCCAGAAAGTTTTGGAAAAGTCATTTAAATTTGTTTCACAAATATCTGTATAACAGAATGCCTATCCAGGTCCTGAATTTCGGCATGGGATTACATACAGTAGATTTTTTTTCACATTATTTTGGGACAGCTGGCAGAATTTTCTCCTGCCTAATCAGTGTTGATTCGTCACAAAAGTTTATAATTTTCACATCTTTTTAAACCATTTGGTTCTTTAAAGGCAGTTTTCTTTTCGCTCAGACACTTCCAAAGCGCTTGCATATAAAGCTGTACCAAATTGAGTTATTTTTGTGGCTTACTGCACTTAAAAATGTGTAAAACTTTGTAGTTGGATTACAGCCTACATTTAATTAAGGGTGCTTTAAATAGTTTTACGAAGTTGTTCTTTGTTTTGTGTGTGCACTCACAGGACTCCCTGGGTAAGTTTGTTGGACGGACGCTGCAGGACTGTGGTGAGGACCTGCTGGTAGAGATCTCTGAGATCCTCTTCAATGAACTTGCCTTCTTCAGACTGATGCAAGATTTAGATCAGAACACCTCTAAAAACAAATGCAGGACCAAGAGACGCTCTGACCACACATCCCCAAAACACTCGCCTCGCACTGAGGTAGGCTTGAGTGATTAATGTGTGTGCCTGTAGCAATGCTTCAGTGTTAAACGAGAATAATCTTTGCATTGTTTATTTAGGAGAAGAAAACGCTAGAGAGAGAAAATACATTCTCACCATCATATTTTGATGAAGACAGAGTAAGTTATAATTGTTGATACACTTAACATTCTCACAAATACACTAAGCTACACTGCCTCTGAATCTAACGCCCCACAGCAGAACAGTTTTATGTGTTATATATTCGCTTGCAGTCTCTATATGAAGTGATGAGTTGAGTTAAAAAAATAAAATAAAAATCTGTTTGTTGCCTTTGCTGGTTTACAACAAATGTATAGCGGTGTTTATTTTAGTTTTATTCAAACCTGAATGTTTTCAATGTTGAAAATTGAGTTTCAATGTTTTTTCATTAGGATCAGGATGATACTGAGCAGCGAGGGACACCTCATGAGAGGGTAGAGGACAAGGAGAAAGATGCACAGAGCAGTGGAGCATCTGAGGTGGAAGAAGAAGAGGAAGAAGGGCTGCCTCTTTCTATAAGTAAGGTTATCAGCCAGAAACTAAAGGGGAAAAAAATAGCTATTGTTTTAAATAAATATATAATATCACTCAAAAGTTGGGGGCTGGTGAGAATTTATTTGTTTTTAAAAATATTTTTGTTCTCACCAAGGCTCCATTTATTTGATCAAAAAATACAACAACAGTAATGTTGTGAAATTTTACTTCAATTAAATTGTAATTGCTACTTTTAAAAAAAATGCATTTTAAATATATATCAACATAGAAAGTTAAGTGTCACATGATCCAGAAGTTATTCTAATTTGCTGATTTGGTGCTCAAGAAACATCTCTTATTTATATCAATGTTAAAAAAGTTGTGCTGCTTTATTATTTTAGTGGGGTAAAATTTCCCCCAAGGATTCATTTGGAAATCTTTTGTAACTGTAAAAGTCTACTATCGTTTTTTATTAATTTTTTTTTTCTTGCTAAATAATAGTAGAATTTTTAAAGTTTAACCCTTTGGGGTCTTAGGGGGTTTTGGGGCCCTGGATAAGTTTTGACATGTCTTGAAATTTTCAGTTGCTTTAAAACACATTAATGACTAATTACACTGTATTCAGCACAAAACAGGGCTACAGTAATATGTGAGCAGCATGTATGTACATCTTTGTATTTATGAGAAAAATAAAGTTTATGCGTGTTTAAAAAAACAAAAACTAAATATCAAGCAGGGCTGCCAACTCTCACGCATTCAGTGTGAGACTCACGCAATTGAGCCAATTCTCACGCTCTCATGCCACACCCCCGATTTCTCAAGCTGAATTGTCAACAATGAGTTTATCTATAGATCTACCTGTTGAGCCACTCGTGATCTACTAGTTATACCGAAAATTAGATAAAATATCATGTAATATAGAGCAAGCGAGTGTGCATGCAAGACCGATATTGTGCTCCAAACCACGCGCGCAAGCACGGTAGAGGCAAGCGAGAGACCTTGCGTGTGTAGACTTACTCATCCAAAATTGTATCTACGGCTCGATCAAGTCGCTCTTCAAAATATAAACGATCGTCATCAGAGTCCCGCTCTTTTTCGGAGGAAAATGTGAACTCTTCATCACTATCCAGAGCAAGCTGAAGAGCTTCCTCACCAGTGTATCCTGCCATCTTCCAAATGCGCAGGAAAGTGGATGAATCAAAAGCAGAAAGTTTCATCATTAAAGGCATTTGCCTGGGGGCGTTTATCTATTTTGCAAAGATCAACTCACACATTATCTTATGAATAGCGTGTTCTGCGAGTGGGTTTAAACACATCAACGATTATTAGCGGAGACAGCAGAAACTGTACTTCTCTTAAGTTTCATACAGATTACATTGCATGAGAATATTTATTTTAAATGTGAATTGTTTTGTTTAAAAGACATTTAAAGCTTTATTTAGATGTTTGTTTCATGTTTGTGTGATGAGTATTAGCTGAGTTTCAGTCGATTTTCCAGTTTCAGAAAGATTTTTACGGAGACAGAGTGAGCTGAATGCGCACCCTGTTTATTTTCTTTATTTTACAAAACACAAGGTTTTAATGTCAATGTGAGTCTACACAACTAAAAGAGAACCCTCTATAGTTTATAGTATTGATTTTCATTTATATGACCAAAAATAAGTTGCTGCTATGTGAAAAAAATCCAGCCGGCATGTTTGCCGACCCCAAAGGGTTAAATATTGATTTAAAATATATATATTTGTTATATTCTATGTGATACAATAGTACGCATAAAATTGAGTATTCAACAATACCCTTTAGTGTTTGCAGGAGGTTGTCAATCTTATCGCCTACAGTTTGAGACTGTTCTGTAATGTATTTGATTTTGATAAGAATATGTTTGACCGTGTTGTGTGTGTATGGTCTTTTCTTTAGGCCTGTCTAAAGCAGAGACACAGGCTCTATGCAACTATGGCAGTGGAGAAGATGAAAATGAAGTGGAGGAGATAGAGGAGTTTGAGGCTGGACCTGTTGAGGTGCAAACATCACTACAAGCCTGCATGGACAACACTAGTGAACAGAGACAGGTGTGCTGGCATGCACACGAAAGAGCAAATAACCTGACTCAGAAGACATTAATAATGTCCTGTTGTGTTGTTTCAGTGCTCTGCCTTACAAAATGATGCCCCCTTGGAAACCAAATCAGACCTAGAAAGTCCCGAAAGCAGCCAATGTATGTCTTTCTTCTGTAATATTATACCATTAACATTTATTGGGGTATTTACAAACAACTCATTACAGTTGAAAAACATTTTTTTTTTTTCACTTTGTCTCACATTTTCTAACAGCTAAAAGCATAAAATCGGAGTCCAAAGTGACAGATCTGCAGCCTCCAGAGGAGGGCAGAGAGGAGGCAACAATTGGTTCAGAAGATGAAAGGCAGGAGGAGGAGGAGGATCGTACTGCTGCTTCAGCACAGGAAACTCCTCAGAGCTCAGATACAGCCAGCCCTGACACAGACTCTCCAGTCATGATCAACACCGATGTATGTCAGAGCAGCTTTTCACCTCAAACATCATTTAATCGTTTTTAAGAATGACCAAATTATGAAAAAAAGGGATTAAGTTCCTTTGTATGTAATGCAGGAGGCTGGATCTGGAAACAATAGCCAGAAATCAGATGAGGAAGATTTTGTGAAGGTGGAAGATCTCCCTTTTCAAATGTCTGTTCTGTGTGAGGTAAGAGCTTGAGGGGTCTCTCTCTAATAGACCATTTCACAAGATGTAAACAACACTGGTCCAGAAGCACTTCCTGTTTCAGTTTGTAACCGTTTTCTTTATTTCACATGTAAATAAAACATCTTAAAGATGTTTGTTTAACTTTTTAATTCAGTTTTAATGTTCTGTTGGTTGTATTTTATCCCAGCTTTTATGTAGTGTTAAAAACCTGAAACAGGAAGTGCTTCTGGACCAGTGTTGTTTACATCTTGTGAAATGGTCTATAGGGATGGCCAGGATAGTGAAGTTTACAAATAAATGTGGGAAGTTTATCCACTTTTTTCCTTTTTTTTAATCAATTAATAGGCAATTATATTAATTTGCTTTATATAATATTAATAGTTTTTTTTCTTAATAATCATATATATATATATATATATATATATATGTGTGTGTGTATTCACATAGATGAATGATTTTCTAATTGTCTTTGTTTTTTAACTTGTACAGGAAGAACTTTGTAAGAGGATCTCAGAAGAGCAGCAAAATAACAACTTAGCAGCTGAAATTCTGAATGTAAATACAGAAGAGTTTACAGGAATGGTGGGAAATGCTCAAGCACTCAAAGAGCCTGGTAACTGTTAAATATCCTTTAAAACATTTAAGCTATCTGTTCAGACTTTACATGCAGTGACTTTAATAATTCAAAACTCATAAAATTCAGAGCTCAATTACTATGAGCTGTATATGAGCATATCCCTGTGATAGGTGAAGACATGTTCTACTCACTGTATTTTAAATCATCTTTTTTTTTTTTTTTCCTTGTCAGAAACCATTGGAGCCCAGAGTGCATGAGAATGGTTCTTTGATTCATCTTTACACTACAAACCATAATTCATTCAACATTACTATAAAATGAACTTAATACCTTAAGATTTCTTGGAAACAACAGCTAAGCTAAGTATTAGTGGATTAGCCTGTCAGCATGTGTGATCTAACAGTTCAAGAGATGTTAAAGAAGTCTCTCTACACTTATAAAAAGTTTTATTCGGATTGTTTTATGGAGAATGTAGGAGAGGATGTTTTGAAAGGGTCTCTGTCTTTAAGCTGTTCTGTAGCCTGTAAGTACATTTTCTGTTTCTCTTTAAGCCAGAACTCTCAGTAAAAGCTCATTCAAATGCTAGTTTAAGGGATGCAAAACATTTTTGTGCATCTTTGTTTGGCATGGTTAGGCTTTTGTTTTTGCATTTTTTTTCTGGGATTCCTTCCCAGACGTTCAGCATTTTTTGTGAATGCAATATATAGAGGGCAATAGACGTTCCTCTAATTCAGGATAAAACTTCAAGCACATTTAGAAAAATTCTCTATTTAAATATATTTCACTTCACCCAGGATGGAGCCGAATCACATATTAGCACTGATAAATTGTCCTGTCCTCTCTTATTGCACTCTTTTAAATGTTGCTTTCATTTTTACCTTTTTTTAAGGCATGTTGGCCATTGCTTGGGTTCTCACCCCATTTCACCTAATGTGATTCTCTAATGTTTAGATTGAGATTTAAAATGAATAAAACATTGATTTTTATCATTTCCTGCAGTGATTGCTCTCTCGGTTACATTTGCATAAAATCTCAATGCAACATTTTCCCCACAAAAAATACTGAATTTCCATGATTTATTGATGTTAGTTGTGTACATGTGTATACTGCTTGTACACTCATTTTTAGTTGATCATTTTTCCTCTTATACACATTGGTTGGCACTGAGGAGGTTTAATAAAGTTACAAGGCACCAGTAGTGTTGATTATCCAGTTGAAACACGTTCCACTGTACACATTTCTGTATGCTAAAATGTATGTTAAAAAAAAAAATACAATTTGCCATATGCAATATACATTTTCAGTGCAATTTCCCACACCCCCACACAACACAAGTAGTAAATAGGCTGCTCTTCCTTGATTAACCAAGATGATGCCCTGATGATTGTTGCAAATCTTCTTAAATTAGCAAGCGCTGATTTTTAATGATGCTACATTTTGAATTGGATGGTTTTTCTTAAACATACATAAGAACGTCCCAGTGATGCAGCTTGCCCAGATGCCATCCATCACCACGGCATGCAGGGGTTAGGACAGTCACGGATATAAGACTCCAACGTCCCCTTAGACACCTCCATTAGAGAAGTGTATGTGGTCAGCTGCACAGCATCATAAAGGGAAGCGTTAAAGAACAAACCATAACATGCGCTACAAACTTATACATAAAACATTACCAGTAATGGATAATGAACCTACTTTATTTAAGACTGGCTTGGTGGACAGGACATCATAGACTGTCTTTAAGGAGATGTCCTGAAAGCGAATAGGGTCATGCATGTAAAATCACTATTATTAGGCAACCAGGACAAACATGATTTAGTTTTATTTATGTGTGAGGCCAACTCACATTCTGTGTGGTCTGATTCATGCATTTCATAGCAGGAGTTCTCCTGTCATCCAAAAACAGAGGCTCTTTCCAGTGGTCATAGTTAGTCTCCAAAACATACCACCTGCCATTCTTCACATCAAGCCTGAAATACATAGTTTTTCAGTTTATTATTAGTTTCTAACGAAAAAACTCACACGTCGTCTACTTTTAACTATGTGTAGTAGCAATGCTCACTCCAGTGGATTGATGTTGTGTGTTCTGGATCTGGTGATGATGCAGGCTTGACCCGTCTGGTTCCCTCCCAGGATGAAGTAAGCTGGAGCGAGCAGCTTAGTGTCAGACAACAGAGCCTTGGCACTTTCATAGCTAAAAGAAGACAACATCCAAATCATCTTCTTCATAAACCCAGTTCTTATTAAAGTTCAGGTAAAGTCAAAAAATATGCACCAGTTTGGATTAATTATTATTTGTAATGTTTTCGATTTAAGTATCTTATGCTCACCAAAGCTGCATTTATTTGATGAAAAATCAAGTAAAATCAGTAATATTGTGAAATATTTAAAAAAAAAACGGTTTAAATGTTTTCTATTTGATTATATTTTAAAATGTAATTTATTCTGGTGTGGTGTCATGATTCTGCCTTCTTGTCCTTGATTTTCTCTAGTCGCGAGGCAGGATCATGACAGAATCATATTTTGTGTGCAAGCGCATGGTCTGTTTGGGCCATGTGCTTGTTTTGTCTCGTTACGTTACCCCGCCCCCTTGTTATCCTCATCTTGTCATTATTGTCTAGTCAGTTTCACCTGTCCTTGTCATTAGTGTTCCCCTTTATAGACCATTTTGCTAGATATAAACAATACTGGTCCAGAAACACTTCCTGTTTCAGTTTGGAACTGTTTTCTTTTTCACATGTAAAGAAAACATCTTAAAGATGTTGTTTAACTTTTTGATTCAGTTTTACATGTTCTGTTGGTTGTCTTTTATCCCAGCTTTTATGTAGTGTTAAAAAAAACTGAAACAGGAAGTGCTTTGCCTTGCCCTGTCTTGTTTTTTCCCATCATGGGTTTTTGTTTTCTGTTTTGTCCTTTAATAAATCCTGCGAAAGTCATTTGCCGTCTGCACTTGGGTTTATCCTACACCACCATAACAAATGGCAAAGCTGAATTTTCAGTGTCATTACTCCAGCCTTCAGTGTCACATGATCCTTAAGAAATCATTCTAATATGCTGATTTGGAGCTCAAATATTATAAATTATTATTATTGGTGCTCAATTATGAATAGTTATTTTTATTATCAATCTTAAAGTTTTTGCTGCTTATTATTTTGATAATTTTTTTTCAGGATTCTTTGATGAATAAAAAGTTGAAAAGAACATTAATTTAGTGCTTCCTTGATGAATAAAAGTACTGATAAGTATAATAAATATTTTTTGAGCATCAAATCAGCCTATTAAAATCATTCCAGCGCTAATTATGCTGCAAATTCAGCTTTAAATCCCACATATACATTTAATTTTAAAATATATATTAACCTATACAATATATATTAATAGAGAACAGTTATTTTAAATGGTGATAATATTTCACAATACTATAGTTTTACTGTATTTTTCATCAAATAAATGCAGCCTAGGTGACTTCTTTAAAATAAAAAATAAAAACTTAATTTAGGGTCCAATTCTAACTAGTTGCTTATTAGCATGCATATTACTAGGATATTGGCTGTTTATTAGCACATACTAATGCCTTATTCTGATTTACCATTTCTTCATCCCTTAATCCTACCCAATAGCTAAATTTAACAACTACTTTACTAACTATTAATAAATAGTAATTATGTCTTTATTGAGGCAAAAACTCATAGTTACTAGTAAGAATTGGACCCTAATCTAAAGTGTGACCATATTTTAAAATAACTATCTCTAGCCAACCTAGTTGCATTCTCCAACACAGAACGAGTCAGAAAACTCATCCACATGCCCTCTCTCTTCCCCAAGATCCACTCCAGAATTCCTGTAATTCATATCACACACTTAATCACAATAAAACTATATCAACGATCTGACCAAATGAAATAAGAGATCATCTTTGCAGAAATCTTCAACGTATTTCTCACAGTCATACCATATGCAAATAAAAGAGCAAATGCCTACCAATGTACCCTCCATCCAGACTGAATCGTTCATTCATAGTGAGTGTGAAAGAGCGCTAGAAAGAAAACAAAAGACAAAGAGTTGAGGGACAGAAGCAATGTGATTATTGACCAACAATCCATTCTTTCACAATGGTTCTTTCCTGTTAAACTGCAGAAGTGAGAAACTAAAAAGAGACAAAGGGTCATTCTGGATCCTGTCACCATGATTTATAATGCATTCTGGATTGAACTCTAATCAACTCAGATCGCTCATTCTGATTCTCTCATCCGTCCTTACCTGATGAATACCAGTCAGCATGCCCACGTATCCTGCAAAATTGGTGGATTTAAAGACAGTCTGATTGTTCCTTCTGAAGTCGAGGTTGACAATAAGTGGCTTCAGCTTCTCTGTGATGATCCATGACCTGTTCTTCAAATCCCAACTGTAAACAGAGGATTCCAAAGAACAGTCTGAAATATTGATGTTTTAGGCTTCAATATATAGTAGTCGACATCTGACCTTTCATCAAATGGTGACTACTGTTTATATATATATATATATATTCACTCAAAAATTACTGTAGGTTAACAACAAATACCAAAACAATGACACTAAACTCACCCCATGAAAAGTCCAAAGTCCAGGTTCCTTGCATGGATAAGATTGCCTAGAGTAAAAACAAAATATATCAACTTTATATCAAATACTCTAACTGTTCTAGTGATATTATAAACTATGTTCAAAGGTTTGGGGTCAGTAAGATCATGTTTTTGAAAGAAGTCTCATATTCTCACTAAGGCTGGATTTATTTGATCAAAAAATACAGTAAAACAGTATTATTGAGAAATATTACAATTTAGAAGAACTCTTATCTATTTTAATAATACATTTGTATTAATTTCTGTCAACAACAACAGCAAAAAAAAAAAAAATCTTTCTGATCTGAACCTTTGGAATAGTAGTGTATGTCATATAATGCATATTTGATTTGTTATAACAGATAAAAATGATAAAAAATAATCTCTCGAACAATGTTATATCAGATGATATCCTCACCCTTGGCATCCTCTGCAACCAGAGAAGTGCATACAGTGAACACCTCATAAAATATGTTGAAGAGCACCACCTCACCTGCGTTACAGAGAACAGTTGATGGAGTGAGTTGATGGTTTACGTTTTATTTAACAGTGTGAAACATGATGGTTTCGATGCATTTCATACCCAAAGGAACACCAGACACTGATGCTATTCCTCTGATCTCCTCATCGAAAGGATACGGCAAGGTGTTCACCATCAAGGGCTGAGGACAAACACATCAGTCCATTTAGTTATTACAGGTTTGTAGGTTTGTAGATCAGTGTGCCACAGCCAGATATGAGATTTAAGAGTGTCATATACTTCAATAAATAATGATTTAGCATCATACGAAGTGATGCGTTAGACTGCCGACTCACCAATTCCTTGTCTACTAGTTGGATGAGCTTCCCACTGGGAACAAAGGCATCTGCTAGATCTCTGATAGCCTGAATCATGCTCGCCATCTAAAAGACAAGCACATGAGCTCTTGAAGACATCATTGAACACATCAGCCCTTGTCAGATGACTCCTTTTTAGTTTGCTTTTGGGTTTCAGTTCACTTTTGGTTCACGGTTAAACCTGACTCAATTATTGATGAGTCATCTGATTGTGGTTATTTAATCTGATCGCAATTATTTGAAATAACTGCAATAATTGTGCATTGATTTCACATTTTGCCTAAAAATGAGGTAAATTTAAACGCTTATAGAAATGTCATTGAGTGCACGTAAAGTATTTGAACTATAGAGCATTGAATCAGTGATGGTATAAACTCACATCCTTCTTTTTGTCTGTAATAACATCTGTCCATCTTTTGCTTGGTGGTAAGTCCAGATCAACGGTATACCAGGACACATCTCCTCTAAATCTAAAAGATACAGAGATTCAAATACAGATTTTCTTATCTTCTCCCCTCACACAACTTACAATTTCAATTATGTATACAATATATATACTCATACTGCTATTAAAAATTTTGGGATCAGTAAGACTTTTAATGTTTTTAAAAGACATATCTTATGCTCACCTGAGTGCAAAAATGGAGGCTCTAGACCCTTCCAGAGCTGAGATATTGAGATATTTATAATGGCTTAAATGCTACGTGGTATCTCAATATCTCAGCTCTGGAAGGGTCTAGAGCCTCCATTTTTGCACTCAGGTCTAAGTCTCATGGCCCTCTATCAGAATGCAGAGTTTCAAGAAGATCAGAGAAACTCAAAATTTCGACCCAAAAAAAAAACGACAGTGTTACCCCTTTCGTTTTTTTTTTTGTGCAAAAAAATATGTATTTCTCCAATCTTCTTGAAACTCTGGATTCTGATAGAGGGCCATGGGACTTAGACCTGAGTGCAAAAATGGAGGCTTTAGACCCTTCCAGAGCTGAGATATTGAGATATTTATAATGGCTTAAATGCTAAGTGGTATCTCTATATCTTAGCTCTGGAAGGGTCTAGAGCCTCCATTTTTGCACTCAGGTCTAAATCTCATGGCCCTCTATCAGAATGCAGAGTTTCAAGAAGATCAGAGAAACTCAAAATTTCGACCCAAAAAAAAAACGACAGTGTTACCCCTTTCGTTTTTTTTTTTTTGTGCAAAAAAAATATGTATTTCTCCAATCTTCTTGAAACTCTGGATTCTGATAGAGGGCCATGGGACTTAGACCTGAGTGCAAAAATGGAGGCTTTAGACCCTTCCAGAGCTGAGATATTGAGATATTTATAATGGCTTAAATGCTAAGTGGTATCTCTATATCTTAGCTCTGGAAGGGTCTAGAGCCTCCATTTTTGCACTCAGGTCTAAATCTCATGGCCCTCTATCAGAATGCAGAGTTTCAAGAAGATCAGAGAAACTCAAAATTTCGACCCAAAAAAAAAAACGACAGTGTTACCCCTTTCGTTTTTTTTTTTTTTTTTTTGTGCAAAAAAATAAGTTTCTCCAATCTTCTTCTCAGGTCAAAGTCTCGCGGCCCTCTATCATAATCCAGAGTTTTGAGAAGATTGGAGAAACTTGATTTTTCGCCCGAAAACTGAAAAAAACGTAAGGGGTAACACTGTCGTTTTTTTTTCGGGTCGAAATTTTGAGTTTCGATATCTCAGCTCTGGAAGGGTCTAGAGCCTCCATTTTTGCGCTCAGGTCAAAGTCTCGCGGCCCTCTATCATAATCCAGAGTTTTGAGAAGATTGGAGAAACTTGATTTTTCGCCTGAAAACTTAAAAAAAACGTAAGGGGTAACACTGTCGTTTTTTTTTCGGGTCGAAATTTTGAGTTTCGATATCTCAGCTCTGGAAGGGTCTAGAGCCTCCATTTTTGCGCTCAGGTCAAAGTCTCGCGGCCCTCTATCATAATCCAGAGTTTTGAGAAGATTGGAGAAACTTGATTTTTCGCCCGAAAACTGAAAAAAACGTAAGGGGTAACACTGTCGTTTTTTTTTTCGGGTCGAAATTTTGAGTTTCGATATCTCAGCTCTGGAAGGGTCTAGAGCCTCCATTTTTGCGCTCAGGTCAAAGTCTCGCGGCCCTCTATCATAATCCAGAGTTTTGAGAAGATTGGAGAAACTTGATTTTTCGCCCGAAAACTGAAAAAAACGTAAGGGGTAACACTGTCGTTTTTTTTTTCGGGTCGAAATTTTGAGTTTCGATATCTCAGCTCTGGAAGGGTCTAGAGCCTCCATTTTTGCGCTCAGGTCAAAGTCTCGCGGCCCTCTATCATAATCCAGAGTTTTGAGAAGATTGGAGAAACTTGATTTTTCGCCCGAAAACTGAAAAAAACGTAAGGGGTAACACTGTCGTTTTTTTTTCGGGTCGAAATTTTGAGTTTCGATATCTCAGCTCTGGAAGGGTCTAGAGCCTCCATTTTTGCGCTCAGGTCAAAGTCTCGCGGCCCTCTATCATAATCCAGAGTTTTGAGAAGATTGGAGAAACTTGATTTTTCGCCCGAAAACTGAAAAAAACGTAAGGGGTAACACTGTCGTTTTTTTTTCGGGTCGAAATTTTGAGTTTCGATATCTCAGCTCTGGAAGGGTCTAGAGCCTCCATTTTTGCGCTCAGGTCAAAGTCTCGCGGCCCTCTATCATAATCCAGAGTTTTGAGAAGATTGGAGAAACTTGATTTTTCGCCCGAAAACTGAAAAAAACGTAAGGGGTAACACTGTCGTTTTTTTTTCGGGTCGAAATTTTGAGTTTCGATATCTCAGCTCTGGAAGGGTCTAGAGCCTCCATTTTTGCGCTCAGGTCAAAGTCTCGCGGCCCTCTATCATAATCCAGAGTTTTGAGAAGATTGGAGAAACTTGATTTTTCGCCCGAAAACTGAAAAAAACGTAAGGGGTAACACTGTCGTTTTTTTTTCGGGTCGAAATTTTGAGTTTCGATATCTCAGCTCTGGAAGGGTCTAGAGCCTCCATTTTTGCGCTCAGGTCAAAGTCTCGCGGCCCTCTATCATAATCCAGAGTTTTGAGAAGATTGGAGAAACTTGATTTTTCGCCCGAAAACTGAAAAAAACGTAAGGGGTAACACTGTCGTTTTTTTTTTCGGGTCGAAATTTTGAGTTTCGATATCTCAGCTCTGGAAGGGTCTAGAGCCTCCATTTTTGCGCTCAGGTCAAAGTCTCGCGGCCCTCTATCATAATCCAGAGTTTTGAGAAGATTGGAGAAACTTGATTTTTCGCCCGAAAACTGAAAAAAACGTAAGGGGTAACACTGTCGTTTTTTTTTCGGGTCGAAATTTTGAGTTTCGATATCTCAGCTCTGGAAGGGTCTAGAGCCTCCATTTTTGCGCTCAGGTCAAAGTCTCGCGGCCCTCTATCATAATCCAGAGTTTTGAGAAGATTGGAGAAACTTGATTTTTCGCCCGAAAACTGAAAAAAACGTAAGGGGTAACACTGTCGTTTTTTTTTTCGGGTCGAAATTTTGAGTTTCGATATCTCAGCTCTGGAAGGGTCTAGAGCCTCCATTTTTGCGCTCAGGTCAAAGTCTCGCGGCCCTCTATCATAATCCAGAGTTTTGAGAAGATTGGAGAAACTTGATTTTTCGCCCGAAAACTGAAAAAAACGTAAGGGGTAACACTGTCGTTTTTTTTTCGGGTCGAAATTTTGAGTTTCGATATCTCAGCTCTGGAAGGGTCTAGAGCCTCCATTTTTGCGCTCAGGTCAAAGTCTCGCGGCCCTCTATCATAATCCAGAGTTTTGAGAAGATTGGAGAAACTTGATTTTTCGCCCGAAAACTGAAAAAAACGTAAGGGGTAACACTGTCGTTTTTTTTTCGGGTCGAAATTTTGAGTTTCGATATCTCAGCTCTGGAAGGGTCTAGAGCCTCCATTTTTGCGCTCAGGTCAAAGTCTCGCGGCCCTCTATCATAATCCAGAGTTTTGAGAAGATTGGAGAAACTTGATTTTTCGCCCGAAAACTGAAAAAAACGTAAGGGGTAACACTGTCGTTTTTTTTTCGGGTCGAAATTTTGAGTTTCGATATCTCAGCTCTGGAAGGGTCTAGAGCCTCCATTTTTGCGCTCAGGTCAAAGTCTCGCGGCCCTCTATCATAATCCAGAGTTTTGAGAAGATTGGAGAAACTTGATTTTTCGCCCGAAAACTGAAAAAAACGTAAGGGGTAACACTGTCGTTTTTTTTTCGGGTCGAAATTTTGAGTTTCGATATCTCAGCTCTGGAAGGGTCTAGAGCCTCCATTTTTGCGCTCAGGTCAAAGTCTCGCGGCCCTCTATCATAATCCAGAGTTTTGAGAAGATTGGAGAAACTTGATTTTTCGCCCGAAAACTGAAAAAAACGTAAGGGGTAACACTGTCGTTTTTTTTTCGGGTCGAAATTTTGAGTTTCGATATCTCAGCTCTGGAAGGGTCTAGAGCCTCCATTTTTGCGCTCAGGTCAAAGTCTCGCGGCCCTCTATCATAATCCAGAGTTTTGAGAAGATTGGAGAAACTTGATTTTTCGCCCGAAAACTGAAAAAAACGTAAGGGGTAACACTGTCGTTTTTTTTTCGGGTCGAAATTTTGAGTTTCGATATCTCAGCTCTGGAAGGGTCTAGAGCCTCCATTTTTGCGCTCAGGTCAAAGTCTCGCGGCCCTCTATCATAATCCAGAGTTTTGAGAAGATTGGAGAAACTTGATTTTTCGCCCGAAAACTGAAAAAAACGTAAGGGGTAACACTGTCGTTTTTTTTTCGGGTCGAAATTTTGAGTTTCGATATCTCAGCTCTGGAAGGGTCTAGAGCCTCCATTTTTGCGCTCAGGTCAAAGTCTCGCGGCCCTCTATCATAATCCAGAGTTTTGAGAAGATTGGAGAAACTTGATTTTTCGCCCGAAAACTGAAAAAAACGTAAGGGGTAACACTGTCGTTTTTTTTTTCGGGTCGAAATTTTGAGTTTCGATATCTCAGCTCTGGAAGGGTCTAGAGCCTCCATTTTTGCGCTCAGGTCAAAGTCTCGCGGCCCTCTATCATAATCCAGAGTTTTGAGAAGATTGGAGAAACTTGATTTTTCGCCCGAAAACTGAAAAAAACGTAAGGGGTAACACTGTCGTTTTTTTTTCGGGTCGAAATTTTGAGTTTCGATATCTCAGCTCTGGAAGGGTCTAGAGCCTCCATTTTTGCGCTCAGGTCAAAGTCTCGCGGCCCTCTATCATAATCCAGAGTTTTGAGAAGATTGGAGAAACTTGATTTTTCGCCCGAAAACTGAAAAAAACGTAAGGGGTAACACTGTCGTTTTTTTTTCGGGTCGAAATTTTGAGTTTCGATATCTCAGCTCTGGAAGGGTCTAGAGCCTCCATTTTTGCGCTCAGGTCAAAGTCTCGCGGCCCTCTATCATAATCCAGAGTTTTGAGAAGATTGGAGAAACTTGATTTTTCGCCCGAAAACTGAAAAAAACGTAAGGGGTAACACTGTCGTTTTTTTTTCGGGTC